TTTAAATGAAGAATAATTTAAAAAACACATTTTTTGAATAAAACTTTTACATGAATTTCTCTAGCAATAAATTTCATAGACTTGGATATCAAACCGTGTTCCCCTAGATTAGTTAAATACCCATAAATTTTCTAAAAAAATAAAAATTAACACATTTTTTTTAACACAATAAAATAATATTAACTAAACAAAACTAAAAAAACGTAATTTTTACTACATCACAAGCAAATAAAAATTATTACGTAGCCAAGAGTCATAATTGAAGATTTCTCTGGGGGACGCCCAGCAGTACCTGGGGGGGGGGGCTACACCACCGGGCCCCCCGTAGTTACGCCAATGTCCATGTTTATACATAGAAACTTTAGTTCATATTTCTTCACAAAGAATCAATGAATACTTAGTGAATACTTTGGCCAGTTCATGACACTAGATTTTTCTAAAGGTTTCTATTAGACTTGGATTAAGGCAGATTAATAAAATAGTATTTATCTCATCAAAGAAACAAGGATATCGAAATCGACAAAATATCAAGAGATAATATTACCATTGTGCTAATTAGAGAATAGAATAGAAGTCAGTGGCGTACAGTTTGTTTTCGAAAAATATTCCAGTGAGAAACTATATGTACGACCCTGGTGAATCTGTCGACACTTTTTTATTATACCCTGTATATTAATTATTATTTATATTATAAAGGGAAAATTCAGACGTATCAAAATAACTAAGGTCGAGTACGATGTGGACCAAAAATGGCCGACTTAAATTCCGGTTTATCAGTGCCGTTCTAATTTTATTCAAAACGGCTAAAAATATGATGTAGGGTAGGCTAAAAAAGGTAGGGTAGTTGTTATAAAAATATATTCTTTATATATATATATATAATTCCAATAAAAATAGTTATAGTTAAATTATCATAATTATGTATACACACATTCGATGCGTTACTGAAACAGGTAAATCAAATTGACGTATCTAAATTCTATGACAAGTAGTAAATTAAAGCAAACATGCAAGAAAAAATATATATTTATAGTTTACAGTTGGGGGTTGGAACCTTTGGTGTTACACAGCAAAATAAAACACTAAATCGCCACAATAAACCAAAACACTTTTATTTTTACACTGGACGAATAGTGTAAGTGTAAAAGTCCAGTGTAAAAGTAAAAGTGTTTTGGTGTACACTCTTATACATCTGCTGATGATGCTAACATGGTTAGCGAAACGCGCGTCTAATGTAAAAGTAAAAGTGTTTTGGTGATTGTGGTGATTTAGTGTTTTATTTTGCCAAAAAATATATTATTAGTTAATTTTAAGTGAATTTCATAAATGATCGGTTTACTACACGTGTGTATATTATATAGTCACTTAATAGGAAAAAGTCATTCCATTATTTCCCTCGATTTTTGATCGAGATCTACCGCACGCTACACCAATTATTTTAAGTATTTTTCGATAAATTACAATAATGTCACTGTTAATTTAAGTTCTGCCACAATTTCTTTAAATATTTACTACCTCTAAACAACTACCAGTTGTTGAATAAATAATAAATAACATAAAATAAGTTCAGTAAAGACTGAGATATCCACAAAATTTCAAATCAAATTCAAATGCTAAGGCCCCACTCCGTCTACCATGGATAGCATTAAACTCCTTCCTTAACCTTTTAAGTCAAAGATTCATATGTATTTCTTTGATGAATTATTGAAAAAAATAGAGTTTAACCTTATGGTGCGCTCACACCGGCTGCGCCGCTCCGCCCAAGACCTTTTTTTAGCCTTTACTTTTGAAGTGTATTTTTTTAGCGCGCACAAAAGTATATGTTAAAAAAATGATTTGCGTGGAGCGGCGCAGCCGCTGTGAATGCACCTTTAAAAATAAATATTTCATGTATTGGACAAAAATTAAAAACAAAATTTGAATGAATAACACAAAATAAAGGAATTCAAGATTGTTAAGCCATATTTAACTCATCACTGAAATGTACAGAATTGTATAGGCGGCCTCTTAATATGGTGCGCTCTCATCCGTGCTTAAAAGGAATAAACTAGATTATTTAATTCTCGCGATGTTCTCGTGACTCGTTACGTCACGAAGGCCGCCAATAATAATTTAAATTATTCGGATTTCTGTTAATAACGAAGAGCGTAAAGAGCAACCGATTTCGCAGTGGGCGATGATTTTTCCAAATTAGTCAAGAGGACAGGCTTGTAAATTGACTGCTAATGTAATGAGTACTGACAAAACCTACATCAAGCGGAATGTATATAGTATACTTGTATTCATTTAAAACTTCCCAATATGGCGGACTTCAGTATGGGAGGCTTAAAAAACGAAAATCTCTAAACTAGAATCGACTGTACTTCAAATCGTTCGAATTGATAATCTGTGGTAAATCCAATTGAACTCTGACACTTGGCTGACATTGACGTTTACGGTTCCTTTTTCTAAATATTTTCATTATTTTTCGAGTTTTTATTTACAAATTCTACTTGATTTTGTTCTTTTATTTAACCTGCAACCTGCAGTACTAATTATATAGTTATAAATAATCTTTTCACTGATCAAGAAACGACGAATAGGCTGGAAGATATTCAAAATGTGTAAAACGCTTAAAAACGTATTAGAAAACATTGACTCGTTCACAAATTCGTGAAAATAAATTAGTCCAGATGTTTGTAAAAAGGTCTCTAATTATTTTGAGAAGTTTCCTCGTATCAGTAATTTTCAGGTTTGTAATATGTACTAAATGATAATAAATAGATTAAAACTTATATTTCAGGAAACAGCGCGGGCATTACAAATTGTTGTAAATCAGTTTTAAAATATAAAGAAGGTTTAAAACGGATTTAAAAGTTGAGTTAGTAGAGAAGACCTAAATAAGGTAATGTTGGTAATGGGACCAAACATCAAATAACACTTGAAATATATAATTATGTACAACTGTAAGTAGTTTTTATGAATCTGTTTGATATCTATTGCATTGTTTTTATATTTCTTGAAATATATATATATATTTTTTACTTTACAGAATACACAAAGAATAATAAAAAATACAGTTACTCACTAAAAGCACTTAAGGTTTGTAATAGATGTAGTTAGAATATCAAACACCAAACCAAACCAAAAATTATGTTTTATTTTACTGGTATTCCTCACATTTGAAGAGAGTCATTTCATAAATAAGCAGGACATTGTATAGTACACTCTATATTAATAATTGTTTTTTATCCTATACTAGTTAGTTAACACATCACTTACTAGGTATAAAATTTAGTACTGATTAACCTATAGTTGTGGTTGTGATATATTCTGATGTGTTTCTGGCAATTTAAAATAAGTTAATATTTAAACAAACATTTCTGGCTTTCCTGACAGGAGTGTGGACACAAATTTAATAAAGGTATAATGTGGATAATGTTCTGATTATTACAGTTTGCATGGATGTTTTTGTATGTTGTTATTTTTAATAAAGTATATGTAATGAGTTTTTGAGTATTTCTTTTTCCTTCAGAGGATTGTGTTCTAATCTTTATATATTATAAATTTTCATAAATTATATCTACAAAATTTATTACCTTATAATTTTTTGCTAAATACTTTGTAGTTGATACAGTTTAACAGTATATAAAAGAACTATTTAAATAAAATGTTTGAGTATATATAGCTGTTTTTGCACACATCAATTCAATTTGTGATTAACTGTACTGAAATAAAAACAAATTAAGAGAAATGGGGTGATGAAAAGCATCATCCTATTTCCAAGTCTTCTATTAATTTCACTTATTAAACAACTATTTTTATTCAATAATCTTGATAATTCTAGGAACTCTCAGATATCATCAAAACATGAAAACAAAAATTCACTTCCTATAGTTCTTATGTCCCTTTAACTGAAATATAAGAAACAGGGGAGTTAATATTCTGACTGAGAAAGTTTATAAAATACGTTTAAGTAAAATCTCTTCGGATCTGCGGTAACATACCTTTATTCTTATTAAATAATTTCAATAATCTATGTTTTTATTTATGACAACCACCTAATAACCTAACTTTAACGTCAACTTGACAATCCTGAAAAATATTATTGTTAACCAAAGAGTAAATCAATTTCTGAATTCGCTAACGCCAACTTATTTTTCATTAAAAAAAAATTACCAATTTTCGTAACTAGGTCGGCCATATTGAGGAACTTTTAAAAGAATAGTACTATAGTTGTGATGAAAGAAGTTGTAGCTGGAGACTGGAGAATCTCTTAAGAAAGGTGCTTTTATAGGTGATTCATAAGTGAAAATATTGTCTACTCAGATATCATCTGAAATATTATTGATCAGAGTAAATATGAAAATAAAGAAAATCAGAAAATAAAAAATTTCAATATACAGGGTGAGTCTTAAATAAGTGCAAATATTTTCAGGGCTGGTAAATCTCGATAAAAGAAACATATTTTCTCTTTACCATTTTTCAAATAAGTCCAAAATAACCGGTTATTTAAGATAGAAAATTAAAAAAAAATGTTTTTTTTGGAAAATTTTTGGTTTGGTTTGGTTTGGCCACCGGATTTTCTCTGTATTTGCATCCCTTTTAGTGCCGTAACCATAGAGTAAAGCTGTAACTATGTTAATATCAGAGATTAAGAATTTATACCGTGAGAAAACTTGCGGTGAATATACAGGGAAATTTAAAAGAAAATGCACGATTTTCAACATCGTTTTTTTGCGAAAAAAAACTCATAGACGTGTTCCTGTGGTCGAAATATACCACCGCTGAAAATATTTGCACTTATTTCAGACTCACCCTGTATAAATAATGACATTGCCTGGCCAACAGCAAAATTTTAAATTTCTAATATGAATATATTAATTAAATTAAAAATTATTATTTAAATATTAATTATTAAGCATTAAATCGTTTTTATTTTTTCTTATGTTATTTGGAGAGATATCCTAAAATAAATGCCACTTTACCGACACAAAAATTTAATCGATATTTTGTTTCAGGTTTCGTCTTTTTCCTGCAATGGAAGAACAGCCGGATATTACGCTGATGTATCAACAGGTTGTCAGGTAAAACTAAAATGTTAATTTTTAAACCACCAACTTTGTTGCAATGGCCCATATACAAAACACTTTCAAAGTAGCTTTATAGAGTTTCTAAATAATCTGATACACTATTCTGAATAAAAAAGATAATAAGTTATTACTTGGTATGTGGTAGACAATGATTCAGTATTGAAACTAAAAGAATTTCGGACTATCATTGTTTTTATTTATTTTGCTCACACAACGTTTCAGTCAGAAGTATCACTGACCGTTTTCAAGTGTGAACTAATATAAATCCTAAACCTACTGAGCTTAGGTATACCGACCGGGTGGTGCATCGTCGCTGGAAACATAGGAAATCCCATGCAAATTTTGAACTGTCCAGATATTGGCTTCCCTATTGATTTTATAGCGAAGTCGTAAATAGATTTTTTAAGGTCTACGTTGGGTAAACACACGTGCCAAATTTGAACAATTGAAAAAAATTTAATCGATTTTTAAACTAAAACTGAATAGGTAACTATCAAACACCAGTCAAAAACCGATTATACCTTAAGTTGTCAACATAATTTCAAACACTATGTTCAAACATAACTTAAGTTTTAATATGCAGTACTAGCAGGGCCGGCGGAAGGGAAATATTGAGACCGGGCGAATACCCCACCTGGCGCCCCCCCCCCCAAATAGTTAACATGTTACCATAACAACTAAGCATATTTATGCTACTTTAACAATAAAATTTCACTTAAAGGTACTTCAAAATTCTTCTCTTCGTTCAATCTTAGTCCGCGGTTGTTTTTTCTATACCGGGTGCATCTTAAAAGTTTTATTTTTTTAGATAAAAACCGAAATCTTGTATGTTAGTATATGACATAAATTAGGATTGAACGACGTATTCATTTGTTTTTGGTCACTTCCTGTTTCAACGAAAAACTATTGATTTTTAAATGGCATCGTCGGTATATTTCTGGTTTATTCGATAGAAAATGACACTCTAAGTAGAATGACAGATCATATGTCAACTTTTGCTCAAATTTGACATTTTTGCTCAAAAAATCGTATTTTAAATTTCAATCTAGAGTGCCATGGCTGTGATAAAAACACGCATTTTTAAACAAGGAACCTTGGAAAAATAGATTTGATCGTCTAATGTTTTTCGTGTCTTATCCTGGTCGGTTAAAAAATGCCCAAATCGTATTTTTAATCATATGCCAATTTTTTCAAATGGAACAAGTGGCTCATTTGCATATTTGGAAAAAGATTTTTTTATGAATAATTTTGTACCACACACTTGATATTTCGAGTCAAATTGTCGTTATGAACCGTATGTTACAATTTCAAACAATCCATATGCGAAAATGTAAAAAGTTGACACATTATGATATGTCATTCTATTCAGATTGTCATTTTCTATCGCATAAAGTAGAAATATACCGAGGTTGACGTTTAAAAATCAAAAGTTCTATTAATTTCCGCTGAAAGAGGAAGTGATCAAAAACAATTGAATACATCAATTATTCCTAATTTATGTCGTATACTAACATACCAAATCTCATTTTTTCACCTGAAAAAATTGGAATGAGCCAATTTTGAGACGCACCCGGTATATAAATGATAAGTATAAGTGATCTTTAAAAACATGCAGAATCAGTATAGGTATGATCAGATACAGTTTTGTCGGCTTCAAAATGAGGATCAGCCAGTGTTTGAGATTTCAGATGCATTCATTTGTCTTGCTTTAATGATAAATTTCTACGATTCTGTCACCATTTACCATGTACGAGGGTGGTCTGAAAAGTTTCCGACCTAATAAAGATACAAGACATTTTTTCTGGATATTTGATTTTAATTTTCAACATAGTCACCTTGTAACTTTACACACTTTTCCCAGCGATGCTCCCATCTCTGTATCCCGTCCAAATAGTACTCGGCGTTTTTCTCTGCAAAATAGTGGTTCACGAAGGTGATTGCCTCTTCATTTGACGAAAATATCTGTCCTCCGAGCGCAATTTTTAAATGAGGGAACAAAAAGAAATCGCTAGGGGCTAGATCTGGTGAGTAAGGCGGATGGTCAAGCAGTTCAAACCGTAATTCGTGGATTTTCGCCATGGCAACAGCTGAGGTGTGAGACGGTTTGGTTTGACACACCGGTAGGTGCGTAACACCGGTAGACGGTGCGTTATCTTGATGAAACAGGATTTTCTTTTTCTGTAAATGTGGCCGTTTTCCGCAAGTTCTGCTTTTAGCTTGTCAAGTAATGATGCGTAGTATGCTTCTGTGATGGTTTTTCCTTTTTGAAGAAAATCAATTAAAATAACTCCATGACTATTTCAAAAAACAGTTGCCATCACTTTCCCAGCCGAAATAACAGTTTTTGCTTTTTTGGAGCCGGTTCTCCATTTGCCGTCCACTGTTTGGACTGTATTTTTATTTCTGGTGTGTAGTGGTGTATCCAAGTTTCATCTACAGTAATAAATCGATGCCAAAACTCGGATTTATTGCGCCTAAACTGCGCCAACATAACGTTGGAAATGTTCATTCGAACACGCTTTTGGTCTAACGTGAGCAAACGCGGCACCCAACGCGCGGACAGCTTTCTCATGCCTAAATCTTGATTTAATATGTGACAAACACGTTCTTTTGATATGTTCATAATCTCTGATATCACTCTCACTTTAATTCGGCGAATTAATTTTGGACGTCCCGAACGTTCATCGTCTCCCAAGCTCTTACGGCCACGTTTAAATTCAGCTGCCTAAAATTTCACTGTGGTAAATAATGGCGCAGAGACCCCATACACAGAATCCAACTCATGTTTAATTTGTGTAGGCGTATTGCCTTTCAAAACCAGATATTTAGTGACAGCTCGATACTCGATTTTGTCCATTTTCGCAAAAACACTCACATCAACTCGCTCAAACGGCTGTTACATAACAATTGCGCATCCAAAATGACTGAAATTTTGGTGAATAACTGTCAACAGATGAACAATGAAAATTCACTAGCTTTTATCTACGAGTGCTGCCATCTTCACGTTGAGGTCGGAAACTTTTCAGACCATCCTCGTATTACTACATATTCAATCGAGAAAAATGAAAATCACCAAAAGATTGATATTTTTCCCACTACTGTTAATAAATTAATGAGGCAAACTTACAAGCTTTTTTTGATAATAAGGATATCGGGATCCTATTTAGCTTCTTGCCAATTAATATTTGCCTCATATAATTTTAGGGCAGATCAGCCATTAACAAATAAATGGTGTGGGTAGTACACAAAGTGCAATTTTGAGCAATAATAAGCAGTCTTGTTTAGAGAAATTAATTATTTTATTTAATTATAGAAAGAAGGGTTATTTACAAAAAGTTGATAGCTTTTCAGTTATATGTAAAATACCACGAACATTTTTTTTTAAATATTTTAGTTGCTGGCGTGGCGCCCCTCACATTAGGCGCCCCGGGCGGTCGCCTTATTGTTATACACGTAAAGAAAAAGTGAATATGATAAAATGGTACTACGCGGGAAATAGCTTAGACAGTGTATCTGACGTGTTTCGGTTTATTTCTCCCGAATATTAAAATTAAATTAGTTTTGATAATGACAAAATCATAGTTTGTAAACCTAATAAATATATAAAAATTTTCACTGGTGTTTGATTGTTACCTGTTCGGTTTTAATTTAAAAATAGATGCAACCTTTTTTATTACTCAAAAGCGCCTGGTCCAAAATTTGGCATGTGTATTCACCATTGTATTGTATTGTATTTGACTAAGAGTGAGTCCCATAGGATCCTCCACTGCAGCCGCGAGGGCCTATTGTGGCTCAGTTTCTACAAGCTCTTTATAAAAGGAGCGTTAAAGTTCACCCTCCAGACCCAGTCTTTAAACATGGGCCGATATGTCTCCCAGGTCTGATAGGTCTAGCATGGGTTTGTTAAACATCTCAATCCTGGTCCTGCCCCCAGCGGGGCAGGTGCACATAACGTGCTTCATTGTTTCGTCATCCTCCATACAGAGTCGGCATTCGGCGTTTTCCACCAGTCCCAACCTCTGTAGGTGTGATCTCAGCCGCCAGTGGCCCATGTCTGAGAGGAGTTCTCCTGTTCTATGTATGGATGGCCCTGCTAAGATTTTCTTGGCATGTTCCATTCCGGGACTGTCATTCCAGTCCCGGAACGTCGCACCCCTAACCCATACGCAGAGCCTGTCTCTTGCGAGATTTTTTGGAAAGCTAAGTGTCGGTTCATTTCCCTCTAGGCCGACATGTCCCGGGATACCGGAATGGAACATGCCAAGAAAATCTTAGCAGGGCCGTCCATACATAAAACAGGAGCACTGACGACAAGACACTTTGTTCCTATCTCCTAATATATCGAGTAGTTTCTTACAATGAAGAATCGTCATAGACGTGCTTTTCGTTGCCTCAAGTGGTCCTATTCGGAAACAGGAGGCTCACAATTTTTGAGCATTTGCTCAATCCATTCAGTTATGGTTGCTTCGACTCCTCGGGCTTTTACAGCTCCTAGGAGCGATTGAGGGGTAACATTGTTAAATGCTCCCTCAATGTCTAAGAATAACCCTACCGCAATTTCTTTGCGATCAAAGGTACTCTTAATTTCCCCTACCAAATTGTTAAGGGCCAGCTCTAGAGTATACGCTGAGTAGTTTTAGGATTTAAATTAGTTCACACTTGAAACCAGAGCTGCAACAAGTCAGTTTTAAAAAGTCAATTTAAGTTATTTAATTCAATTGATAATAGAGTTCGTTGTTTCTAGGTATATCATATGTGTGATGGACTAGGAAGGCAATTCAGTTACAAATGTCCCAGCAAAACGTTATTTCAGCAGAGAATGTTAATTTGTGATCACTGGTATATGGTTAATTGTAGTAAAGCTGAACAGGATTATAGGTAATTACATCAGAGTTCATACCCATTGCAGTCCATTGTTAAAGGCCTTGCATTACCCCTCCCTAAAACTGCGATTGATTGTATTCTGTGAAAATTAGATGCTAAAAATAAAAAAGGTTATATGATATATGGTGTATATATGTATGTGCTTTTTTACTGGTGAGGAACCGTGTTCAAAAAAGTAAAAAAACAATACCAAAGAACAGCTTTCCATCTTCTACGCCAGCTGTACCAAAGTTTATGGTACGAACGGTTGGTCGTCGCGGCGCACTTAGTGATAAGGTGTTCTGGTGTTTCCCCATTTTCCCCACAGAATCTGCATTCGCCGTTGTTTCCCAGCTGCAATCTTCTGAGGTGTTCGTGGAGGAGGCAGTATCCTGTTAGAAACCCCGTAACAATTCGAGGATTGTTCTTACTTAAATCAAGGAAAATATTTGATTTGAATCTCGGTCGTAAGTTCTAAGGAACATTTTTGAGTGTCTTAGACCGTTGGGTGATTTCCATTCCAGCTTAGGGTGCAAGATTTCTCCCATATATTCAATTTCGAAATGTAAGATGCTGTTTCAGTAATTTTTATGGAATTCAAGTTGTCAGTTTGTTTTCGAAACTGAAAACATGTTTCTATTTCTGTTTTTATAAAAAAAAATAGTTGTAATTGAGTCCCGAATTGAGTCCGTTTTGGTGGAAATCCGTCTTTATATGTCTTTAGGTTGCAAAAAGGAATCAATAATGCATCTTAAATATTTACTTAATGTTTAACACTGTAAAACAAACAAAATTAAGTTCTCATTCGTCACATTAATTATTAATAAAAAAAACCGCACGAACATTCATAGTATAATTGTTATTATCGACTTGGTACTTTATTTGTCGGAAATACCAGAACGCAATTCACTTAAGATTATAGTTTAGCAACAAGACATTTACATTTTTTTTTTCTTTTACTATATCCTGAACATAATTATATACATTTTAGGAAATTCGACAGATATTTAACCACACCGAAACACGTTATTATTCGTCTAGAGATGGTAGACAATGGTGGAATTTATAATAAACCCGTATTGTAAAACTTCCTATTGTCTTTATTTTGAAAGAAATAATACTACGTTTCGAGTAGTGCAATCTCCAACCGTCATCGAGTTTATAATATTAAAATTACTCTAAACTACGTCTTTTCACAAAGTGGCTTTATTGTCCTTTAAAAGCTCCATACCTATCTGGTTTTCTGCTAAATTTTGAATTCTAAAGATTTTTATATTTTATGTTCAGTGCATTTGTGCGGCATAGATATGACGAGATGCAGTAGTAGATGTAGTTTTAGAAAAGCAATCAAATGATAAAAGACACCGCCTACCTGCTGAGTCTTATCCAGGCTCAGAACTCCAATGTCAAGGACATCTAGTTGGCGAGTCATAAACTCGAGGGAGGACGGTCGTGGTCCTCACAATAGAAATTGACCTCAAATCCAAGGAGGCTATAGAGAATATAGATACGGGACACGGGGACAACACCAGTATCAGGTCTAAGGAGAGTCCTAGTCAAAGAGGTGAAGGAAATGGAGACAGATCCTCCAGCCTCCACCTCATGGGTACCTCAGCCGGAGGCAAGCTCCTTGACTGTTAAGGGCACGGGGGGCCAAACTCCAACCGTTGAAGGGTGTATACCCTCGGAGGAAGAACATCTTTTGTCAGAGGAAGATGGAAAATACCCTGTCCCCCCTACAACAGGAAAATGCATGATGGGTTATAGACTGAGTGATGAGTTATAACTCAAAATAGGGGGGCACAAAAGATCTTTAAGGTCGCAGTGATTAACACTCCCCTCAATCTACATTCATTCTACATTTTATTATTTATTAGAATGGTCATAATCAGTAGGGCTACTGATACCGTATTATAAAAATAAGGCACGTAGTTACGGGCTTATTTTTTCCTATTTATTATATTTTTGCTAATATCTTCGGTTCGAAAAAAGATACGAAGATGCGGTCTTCGCTGACTTTTTAAGCTTTTATTCCTCTTTACTATCAGCTAAAATTACATATAATATTGTTTTTATTTTTTTTTTGAAGAAACGCGAAATATTTGTTAAATTGTAAGATAGCGTCCCCTAGCGACTATTATTAAATGCTTAATATTATTCTTTATATGGTCTAATATAGAGTAAAAAATGCTATTTTAAACGAGATCTAGGTTGATGGATTCTGATTACCCAGTTCGGTGTTATTAACTTATTAGCAGATAGGGCAAAATTGTTTAAAGAAAAGAAAATCCGAAATTTGCTTATGATTATGACGCCATTATTTATAGTACCTCTTATGTAGGCAGAATTTTGTAAAAATTCCATTTTCTTATTTGCCGTAGCAGTTGCGCCCTCTAACGGCCATTCTAGAAACTTGAAAATTATTTCCAGCTATTTCTCTTTTAGTTATAAATATGTTTTTCCGTTATAAGTAGTTCTATACGTGAAATATGTGTATGTATTTAGTTCAAACGAACAAATCGTATTGAATGGTATGAATCGAATCACTAAAATGAATCGTAGCGCCCACCACTAATATCGAGTGGTTTTTGAAATATTTTTAAATTAAGTTTAGAAGACATACAGTGCAAGTTAAAACTAAATAGTGATATTTTGTATTGTAAAATTCTTCTTTACTACATTACTACATTTGTTATATTTGGAAATTATAGAAGTTTTTGTTTGTTTCTAGTGCAAATCTTCTAATTGGTCAAAGAGGAAAGGCATTTGTGGAAGAATTAGAATATAGTAGAACGCCACGTCCAGACTTGGTAGATCCAAACAACTCGGATTTCACCACTTATAGACTAAGTTTTGCTGATTTGCCTGCCGGTAAAACAATCGTAGGTATGAGATATCGTTATGATTGAAAAACATCTTTTTGGAATAAGAAAATATATATATACATATATATTTTAATGAGATTTATTAATCTATAAAAAAAATGAAACAATTTATAGGCACAAGCAGCGATGATTATGACGAAAATCAAGACAGATCATTCTCATCCCATAATCAAGTAACCGAATCGTACGAGCAGTCTACAGCATCGTCAAAGAAAAGGCAGGAAACAGGTACCCAAGTCCAAGGCTTCAACAAACAAGTGTTCTACAGAACGAACTACGACAGTGCTAATCAAAACGGGAGACCCAAAGGCAAGAATCTCGCATTCAATTCCTTTAACAGGAACGGTAAGATGTATTTATATTATTTTATTTACTAGACTAGATCTAAACGATATGAACTTACCCAAGTAGCATTTTTGGACACATTTTAGATAATGTTTCTAATAATCGTGGCTGTTTCTTGACACAAAATGGAAACGGTATGCCACAAATAGGAAAAAATTTCGAAACCTATACATTTTATATAGCTTTATTATTTATTACCATTACCGTTTCCTAACCTAGCCGTTTCCTGAAATGTTTCGATGCGGAAACGAAACTTTTAGAGGAAATGTTTCGAAACATTTTCTGCAATTTGTGTCCAAGTTGTTCCCGTTTTCAGCAGCCACTGTTTCTAAATGTGAAGGAACAAAATACCAAACTGGATTTCAAAATGAAAACAACCATCAACAATGTCGACCTCCGCCATAATTTTTTTGTCTTAAACTCTTTGTTTTTAGGTTTTCTTGCACAAAAAATGGCAAAAGCAAATTCATAATTTAATTTAATAATGTACTTTCATATTTTTAATGCCCCTTCTATATATCATTAATTGTTACTACAAAATATTTTTGTGTTTCAAATATAGATTTTTATTTTTATTTCTATATCATGGTTCTGAAAATAAAAATATATAAATGTAAGTAGAACGCGTTCTTAAGGTGCCGTTACACGGCGCGTGGATCGCCGAGCCTGCAACAAAAAATTTCGCGCCGCGCTCTTTGTGATTGGGTCGGCAGGCCGATCTTCGGGCCACGGCCGGGTATATGTGCAGTTACACGGCGCGTGGATCGCCGAGCCTGAAACAAAGAATAGGCGCCACACGCCATGTGAATGGGTCGGCGCGCCGATCTTCGGTTGACGCGTCCTTCCCGTCGACTGGCGGTAAATTTCAAAGTAAACGCGCCGTGCGAGGTCTTCACCAGTAATTCTTTTAAATTCAGTTAATTTTATTTGTTACATACTTCATTTAAATAACTCCATTTAATGCAAACATACATATTTTAATATTAGCTTAAAAAATCTATAAATATCATATTAATTAGGTATAAAAATTACTGATAAATACAGGGTATACCAATGCTACCATGTTATTGTTTAAAATTATTATTTATTCTAAATGCTGTATAAATGATCGTATATATAGATATAGTTTATTAGTTCTAAGGGTGTAGAACATGTTAAAAATGTTGACTATTACTAGAAGGGTGAGAAGCACCATATACATTTTGCTGAGGTGATTTATGTACTCGTATGTGTAATAATTGTATTTGATACTTAATTTATACTTCTAAATTTTACAGCAGCTATAGAAATATTAATTCATAAAGTTTTGTGCAATTATGCTATTTAAAGTTTGTATAGCTATACTAATTTATTGGCGGTAATTTGAGCGGTGGTAATTGCCGATGCTTATAACAATATATTATAGGTACCAATTTACCCCTCAGTGCGATTAGTTCAATCACAAATGAACTGATTTATAGCCGGCCCGGTATTAATCGGTACGACAAAAAATTGTTTACTTTGAACACAGTAGGTATGTGATACATTTGATTATGTAACCTACCATATCTATCGAAAACCGGAGATTCGAAGAATAATTGATATTTTACATATTTCGAGACAACATGTTTTGGTCGAACGAGACTATATCTGAATTTTTACCCCTATATGAAAAGGAACAATTAACTTGGAACTCCAGAAATAATGCACATAAAAATAGAAATGAAATACAGGACGGCTGCCTGAGAATACATCAAAAGTTGAGTATCAATAATCATTGCACCATGAACGAATTAAAAAACTAATTAATTAAAGAATTAAAAAAGAAGAAGAGTTGTTCTAGTCTTTTTAGTTCCTAAAATACAGGACGAATTTTAAAATGTTGCATTTTTCGATTCCATCGTATATCGGTTATCTTATAACTTATCGAAAAGGTGAAAACTCAATCTCGTTTAGTTTTTTACGTAGAATCCAGTGATGTTAACTAGTTTCGCTGATGGTTTTCATTTTCGAAATCTGACTTCTATTTTTTAAATGAGACACCCAGTATATTATTTTTTATATTATTTGCCTTGTTATGGGCTTTCTGAAAATATTATTATATACTCTAAAATTATATTTTCATAAATAAGGCAAAAAAATATTATTTAACTTTTGAACATAAATAACCCTAGTTAAAAAAGTATTATTATCTTATTTAATTTAATTTTACCAGATGATTTTGCTTTCCATCTTGTTATCTTAATAAACTGCACTCTGAAAATAAAGTTGCGGAATAAATTATTTGATTGTATGAATTTAAACCCAATTTAAACCGATAGTCTATGTTAAAAAGTTATATAATGTATTTTTTGTACTCTGTCTCTCGGTCGGCCGTGAGATCGCAAGTGCAAAAATACGCATTGGCGCGTCCTGGCTCGGCGATGCGCGCGCCAGGCGCGTGGATCGGCAAGCCACACGCCGTGTAATGGCACCTTTATGGGTTTAAAAACTCAACAGCCGATAAAAACACATACTTTCATTTAAAAAAGCTATCACGAGCCAACATGGCGGAATTTTAATTCATTATTTTATAAAATTGACATGGAGTCGTACACAAATCATCTACATTATATCATATTTGTGTTGAAAAAGAGAGAAACTCGTGTTTCGAAAATGAATCGACAATCAATGACAACCTTGTTTCCAAAATGTTTCGATTTAGCGCTATCTGTGTAGAAATTTCGAACTAGTCACCTGTCAACAACGCCAATCAAAACTTCTGGTCAAAATAATTAAAACATTTTTATTTACTTATTATAACACAAATAACACATAAAAACATTGTGGAAAAAAGAGAAAAAAACGTTTGCTGGTAACATAATTATTCGGTTTCCTGTTGGGTATGGTAGCTGTTATTACATTTATTCCTAAAACAAATCATCTCTGCAATGCATATAATAAATTATTATAAAATCGCATAAGAAAGATATCTGTATTTGTACTCATCATATATATTCTTTCTTCTACTTTTTGAATTATAGTATTATAAAAACTTGAAGAATGCTTAAATGCAAAAACTCCAGAACAAAATCCAAACAATGAGTGAAGGTTGTGTTCTCATATTTCACAGAATATTAAATAAATTATGGAAATATTTCGGGCACAAAACGGGTACAAAATCTGTAAATGTGAGCCACATCTGTTTCTTAAAATTTTCGAAAAATTTGTGACACTAAGATCTTTATTGGTATAGCTTATGTAGCTGAACATATTTGGTAAAATGTTTCGAAACAAAAAGCCATTTATGTTACGAAACATATGTATCAAAAACCGAACCAATGGGCACCTACCCCAGCATCCTTTAGGCAGAAATCTACGCTATCAAAAAATGCGTACAATTTATCTTAGATAGGAACTATGGGAAATATCCATCTTATCCGATATTCAAGCAGCACAAGCAAAAGCGATCAATAACCATCAATTTGAAGTTGGTCAAAGAATGCCTAGAGAAACTGAACAAATTAGGCAAAGAAAATATTGTCCTCCTACTCTTGGTGCCCGCTCACCAAGGGAGAGAAGGCAATGAAAAAGCAAACGATTCAGCTAGAAACGGAGCGAGTACTCTACTAACTGGACCAGGGGCGCTATTCTGTAAAATCGTCGGTATCGGTAAGTTACCGACAGCTATCGGTACGTATTTGTCGAGGGGTGTCTCACTATTGGAATTACCTGTACATTTTCTTGGCAGTCGCTGGCAGTCATTGGCAGTCTTATGGCAGTCGCCTATAATAATTACATGGCAGTCATAGGCAGTCTTCTTCATAGTCACTGGCAGTCGCTTAGCAGTGGAAGGATATTTTGGCAGTACGTGTACATTTTTTACCCGAGTGAGACACCCCTCGGTATTTGTATATAGTAAACATGTGTTGATTGTTGTTGTCATAGTTACCGATCGGCCCTATGTCAGATATCGCAAATTTGTACCGACGACTCTCGGTATCTCTACCGTGAGGTTGACAAGGGCACGGTAGAGATACCGATTTTCGTCGGTACAAATTTGCGATATCTGCCATAGGACCGATCGGTAACTATGACAACAACAATTAACACATGTTTACTATATACATATACGTATCGAGAGCTGTCGTAACTTACCGATACCGACGATTTTACAGAATAGCGCCCCAGAACCGTTCTGCTTTCCAAGCGGAAACCAGCTTAAAGCGGAACTGAAGAACCGGGGGGACTCCATCCGTAACCTGGAATGGGAATCCTCCAACAGTCTAAGACGCTCGAAAAAGTTCCTCAGAACTGAAGACTTTTTCCTTGAAAGAAAAATTTGCTTGATTTAAGTAAGAACAATCTTCGGATTGTCACGGGGTTTCTAACAGGACGCCTAACGTAACTCAACGACCACCTCAGTAGATTGAAGCTGAGAAACGACGGCGAATGCAGATTCTGTGGGAAAAATGGGGAAACACCAGAACACTTTATCACTGAGTGAATCGAGACGACAACCGTTCGTGCCATAAACTTTGGTATCGCTGACGTCGAAGATGGAGAGCTGGCCTCTGTGGAGCCGTCTCAGATACTTGCTTTTATCAAAGCTCTGAGAGTGTATGATGAGCTATAACCTGTTATAACTCAAGAAAGGGGAATAAACAGTAGATCTGTAAGGTCGCGGTGATTAACCCCCCTCCTAAACATTCTACATTCTAGGATACACGCAGCATGGCGTTAAAGCGGGTTACCAATATCTGATTGAGTGTCCAACTCTCGAAGCTGTAGGAAATATTTTGCGAGATGTAGTAATAGACTGGAGTAGACTGGTGAAGAGATTTGAAATGAAAATAAAACAAAAGTACTGTCTGACCCTTCGATAAAACCAGTTATGGAATCGCAAGCGTGAGACCTACCTTAGCCCTACTTTATAATTTAACAAGTTTTAAATAAAATTAGAACATCACTAACAACCCGTAATTGGTCAGCTAGCTCCGTAGTAAAGCTCCATAGCGGTCGCGCTAAATTTGTTGATCTAATTTCGTTTCTCTTGATCTTTATATCCAATCTGAATTATTAAACAATATTTTTTTTCAGATAACCAATTTGCGGCCACCACTCCGAAACCATTCAACGGCAAAGACTCAGCCTTCAACATTAAAAGAATCGACACTGGACCTAGTTTCGAATTGTCTCCTTCTCAGTCTCAGAACCGAGCATCAGTAAATACGAACAACGCAGTTAATTTCCCGTCAAATTTCAAAGCCACCACGCCAGTCTATCCGAAAGAAGTTGACGTTGATCAGTCGAAGTTCTTCGAATTCAGCGATCCTTTGAGCGAGCAGAAAAACGATGGCGAAGTTGATGTTAATTTTCCGTCAAATTTTAAAGGTAATATTTAGAACAAAAAAAATATAGTTATCTGGTATCAACCCAAAAAAGTACCAAGAAGTAGAAAATATTTTAAAATAAAAGTACAGCTGAAACTATCTTTAACCTATAAATAATTCAGAATTGTTGATTGATGTATCTAAAATCCCTGTATATGTTACAGTGAAATTCGGAAATCCAGTGAATGTTAACAATCACTAGTAGTGAGACTGGTCTTCGTCTTGCATTCTGTGCACGACCAAGACCAAGACTAGCGTACGGCATTAACAGTATCAAATAAAGTATTTTTGTATAATTGTGATAAATTAGTGTTTTATTTTCTATTAATTATTACAAGAAAAAAATGATTTATTATTCTTAAACATAACAAATACCAGGTACGTATCAGAAGTGGCTCGCCCATATTTTTTTTTTAATTTTTCAGATAAAAAAACGAGATTTGGTATATGAGACAAATTAGGATTGATTGACGTATTCAATTGTCTTTGGTCACTTCCTGTTTCACCGGAAATAACTATTGATTTTTAAATGTCAACCTCGATATATTTTTACTTTATTCGATAGAGAATGACACTCTGAATAAAATGGCATAACATATAAATATCAACTTTTGACATTTTCGTTTTAAAAAAATCGTATTTTAAATTTCAATCTAGAGTGCCATGGTTAAAAACGCTAATTTTTAATCAAGGAGCCTTGGAAAAATAGATTTAATCGTCTAATGTTTTTCGTGTCTTATTCTGACCGGTTAAAAGATGCCTATAAGTCTTTTTTTTAATCATATCTCAATTTTTTCAAATGGAACAAGGGTGGCTCATTAGCATATTTGGAAAAAACATTCTTTACGAATAATTTGGTACCACACGTTTAGTAGTTCGAGTCAAATTGTCGTTATGAACCGCATGTTACACCCAAGCAGCATTTGGACGTCGGGACAACGTTGTGTCACGCGACCAAACGTCGGGGCGCAACGTCGGCACAACCTCGTGCCAACCCTAGTCTGCACTAGTTTGGAGAATAATTTTTGGGTCGAAACGACGTTGGACACCGACGTTGGCTAGCAGCCTAATTTAGTACGAAGTGCAACGTTGTTTAAAATCCTAATTCACAGAAATACAAAACTATAATAATATGGCGTCTAAGTCGCGTTTTATCCTAAATTGGGATAATTATAGTAAAAATATTATTTTTATGATTTAGTTAGAGACATATGTCAGATGGCAGTGAAGAACATTAAAAAACATTGAAAGTATTTAGTATGGAGGATGTTTGAAGATCATAATTATTGAAACACTTTAACCGACTCTGTAACTCTTTACCTAAGGCAAAAAAGTTAAACGCAAACAACTTTATTGATGAATGTATTGATTCTACTTTGAAAAATACTAATGGGCCTTAAAATTAAAGAAGTTTTAAAAAATTTCTTGAATTTTTTTTTTAGTAAAATGAGAATAATTTAATTTTTTTTAGTAAAATGAGAATAACGTTGTCCGAATCACCTAAAGATTTCTTAAGCAAAAAAGGTTACAAGACAACGTTTATTCGACGTCACAGAAGCTTTTACTTTGTTGTAGTACTAGTTCAACGTCGGCACAACGTTACAACGACGTTTACATTTATTTTTATACCCAAGGTACGGAGCTAACTATTTTTTGTAACTCATCCAACGTTGTGTTTAGTAAACATGTGGTCGCAAGTCGTGAAAATGCTACTTGGGCAATGTAAAATAAACCATATTCGAAAATGTCAACAGTTGACTATGATAATATGTCATTTTATTGTGTATCATTTTCTATCGAATGGAGTAAAGAAATTCCAAGAGTGTTATTTAAAAATCAAAAGTTGTAGTCATTTCAAGCGAAACAGGAAGTGACCAAAAACAATTTAATACGTTAATCAATCCTAATTTATGTCATATTCTAATATACCGAGCCTCGTTTTTTTTATTTGAAAAAATAAACAAGTTATAGGAGTGAACCTCATTTGAGACGCACCGTGTGTATAACATCTAACATTCCAGTGATATTATTACTTAATTATTTTTATTTCCTACAGCGACCACCCCAGTGTATCCGTCACGTGTCGATATCGATCCTTCTAAGTTGTCAGAGTTTGATATACCGATTAACGAAGAATCAAAATTTCCATCGAACGTTAATTTTCCTTCAAAATTTAAAGGTTTGTTGTTTACTTTGGCATCAAAATTCACTCGAGAAAGCGCACAACATCATTTAGAAGCAATCAGTAACTTGTTCACTAGCACATACTTTAACTACATCGAATAATAGCACAAAATATAACTTAATATGTAAAATATATACTGGATATTTTCATGGGTATCATCATCGTTGGAAACATAGGAAATCCCATGCAAATTTTGATCTGTCCAGATATTGACTCTCTTGTTAATTTTACAGCGAACTTGTAAATAGTTTTTTTAAAGGTCTGCGTATGCTAAATAACATGCCAAATTTGAAGAGTTTTGGACAAACGGATTTTAAGTAATTTAAGAATAATTGCATCTATTTTTAAATTAAAAGTGAACAGGTAAAAATGCAAAAGCAGGCAAATGCCAACGTACCTTAAGTTATCATCCATAATATTGTCAATGTTAAATTGTATTTTCCAAACTTTAGGTTTTTGCCTCATTCCAGCCTCATTCGAAACAATTTTAAATTACAAAAATACATTTCGGAGCAGTCAGCGTAGAGGTACTATAAGGTAGTAGCACAAATTATACAGATTATAAACTTATCGTCAAAAGCATTGTTTTTCGTGGTTCCAATTTTCGGAGTCGCGCACTAGTTAGGCGACTAGTTTGCGCACAAGCACGACCTCTAAAATGGTGCACAGCGCCTGACCGGCCCAGTTATTACGCTGTTTAAACGGGAGTTTATTTTTGCGCACAAAAAATTTACTCGTTTGCTCATCGTCATAAAAAACAATTTTCGTACCACGAATTAGGGACAAGCTTTTTATCTGTATGCTTATAGGATACCTAATCTGTGGTAGTAAGGTGCTAGTAGTGTAGACAGCATAACAAATTACATTTGACAATGATAAAATCATAGGTTTACAAAGTTATGTTGATATTTGACTACTTTTGCATTGTTACCTGTTCAGTTTTAATTTAAAAATAGATTCAGTTTTTCTTAAATTAGTTAAAATCGGCTTGTCCAAAATTGTTCAAATTTGGCATGTGTATTCAGCACAGACAGACTTTTAAATACCGTATTTACGGCTTCGGTGTAAAATCAATAGAGGTGCCAATATTTTGACAGTTAAAAATTTGCATGGGATTTCCTGTTTCAATCGTCGACGCATCACCCGGTATATAATTCTAGAGTGTCTCGCTAAAGTGCAGAGTATTTTTTTTCAGGAGATATAATCATATCACTTCCATGGAAGAGAATTTTCATATGTTTACTTCGTATATTTTTATAAATAGTTCACCACCATATTTGTTTTTAATTGAACCAGTCTACAATAATTGATATTTTTCCCACAGCAACCACACCAGTTTATCCCGAACATATCGATATCGATCCGTCCAGATTATCAGAGTTCGATATCGAGGTCGATGGCGATTCCGACATTGTTTCCATTAATTTTCAGTCAAAATTTAAAGGTTTGTCATGGATTAAAGCAACACAAATTAACATTAACATTTGGCCCAACTACATTATATTATCTGTTATTTATTGTAAATAGCAAAGTTTAATAGTAATACCTGTGGTAATACCTAACAAACTTGTATATATAACAGCAAGGATAACATCTATAATTTATAAGATGTTATACAGGTTGTTAATTTGTTTATTACTCGCGGCGACAGCTTTATGATTGAAACATGGCAACCTCGGCCCGCTCGTCGAGAGACGACGCGACCGGATGAGTCGGCAGCTTAGCTTAGGCAGTGTTGCCATTCTGCTCCCCAATAAGTAATCGTGGAGTTAACAACCTGTATAAGTAATTAGTTACCTTAAATCTGTGGTCTTTTTATTTTCGCATATGACAGAATGATGAGAGTGAGATATGCCAATGATAAAATCAACCATATTACAAGTGACAAAAAGTGAGTTGACACATTTCTACTGTGTTATATTGTCGCAGTTTGTGTCAAGAATTTATAATTGCCCAAGTAGACTGTTTCTGTATGTCTGTCTAATGAGTCTGGGAAGAATTTGACAAACGAAATACAAAAAATGACAGACACAACTGCCACTGTCATGTGTCCTCTCGATTCACAGACTATATAAACCATTATTGATCATTTGAATTTGACTAGTTAGTTGTAATAGCTTCACATTCTATTTTACTTCCACCCATCCCATTTCTCATTTTTAACTATATCTACGCACGTACAAACTTTTAACGCTGCACAGATATGCACTTCTATAATTTGTGTTTCTGTCTATCAGACGGCTATAACTTATTTTATCTTTGTCTTATGCGTTAAAATAGAAATCGCAGATTTAAGATGACCCAGTAGTCAAATATATCTATTAAATTCTACCAAACTGGTATGGGATGAAATACAGACAAAACAAAATAACTATTGTACAGAAACACTACCGTATTTCTAAACACCCCTGTACATAATAATAATGCAATTAATGTAACTAATTAACATATACAAGTTTTTTAGAAAATATTAAATTCAATACATTTTTTCAGCCACTACTCCCGTTTATCCTAAACACGTCGATGTAGATTTGTCAAAGTTTTCCGAATTCCAAGAACAACCTCCAGAAAAAAGCTCGCAGGAAAATGCGGTGGTTAACTTTGCTTCAAATTTTAAAGGTTAGTAGACCCCTAGTAGTAAGTCCCCGCTAAGCTTTATTAGATGAGATTCTCGTAGTACCTAACATCAATTTACATTACCAATTTATTATTATTTATTTACAGCCACAACTCCAGTATATCCAAAACAGGTTGATGTGGATCTAACTAAATTTTCCGAACCAGTTGAATTACCTTTCGATAATAATAAAAACGAAACGGGTAAGTTTGAATTAAGTTATATTAAGTTTAAGTTTAGCTTGATTTTCATGCATCCGTTGTCCGACGATACGATGATATTATATTAATTTTATTGGTTGAATTTACAGTTACTTCGGTTGGGTAGAAAATTACGCAGTTTTTAAATTTATTGCGTTTTCATGCCTCCGTTCATCGGATATACAATTTGCTTGTGATTGGTGCCATTTTATATTTTCATTTCCATAATGATTTCGCTGTTTTACTAATAGTCTGAGAGGTAGCAACGTTTTCGAAAGAGAATTTTAAGAAAGCTGGTTTTTAATATATCTTTTGCAATGCTCTCCTGAACAGGAGTGCGGACCGTCCGGCTGCCGGTAGACGTTGCGTTCACTACTGCGCATCATATCTGTATTCAACATCTGTTCACTACTGCGCTTCACAAATTCGCCCTGTGTTTCAGAAACTAAGAAGGCTAGGACAAACCTATGTGTAGCATATTTAGTTTCATAAAAAAGTAGCAAAGTAATGTGAAAATTGCATCACTGTATCTCTACTCATAAACGAGAAATACCATAAAACACACGAAAATGGGATACACTGTACAGATGTGATGCGCAGTAGTGAACCGCAGAAATTTACGCTATCGAAATTATCGAAAATTGGAAATAACCATCCTATCCGAAAGTCAAGCAGCACTAAACGCAATCAACTCTGAAGTTGGTCAAAGAATGCCTAGATCACAGAATATACTAACGAAAAAGAAGCCCAAGTTCCTTGTAATAAATCGGTTCCATTTTCGTAACGCTATCTCTTGACAAAGCTGACATTTACAGGTTAGCTAAAGGGGTGCGGAGCCGGGGGGAATTGTAAAATACACTTTTTTATTTTGATTATTTTTATTCGCTATTTGCAATTTTATTTTTAAAACATATTATCTGAAACAATCACATAATATGTCTTAAAAATAAAATTACAAACGGAAACAAAAGGAATTAAATAATCTGAAAATCTACAAAGTTTATTGATAAAAAAGTTAGGCTATGCAAATTGATATATTAAGTATAACCTCTTTGGTGTAACATTGTTAAACAAACATTAACAAATCATAACATATCAGATCATAGAACTAAAAAAAGTACTATTACATAAAAACAGGTGATACAATACTTCAAAATTAATTTTAACATAATATCAAAATCGAAAAATCAAACTGCAAACACAACCACACTTATCACAACAGAAATTAACACACACTTCCGCGGCAAATGTCCAAGAAAGACTGATCCATGACTGATCATTCTGATTGGTCCTGGTCCGGTCGTAGCTCACGTCGTATTGTCGGTAAGCAAAATCCCTGTCCAAAAATCTTGACGATCAGCGCCATCACCCGTCATAATTGGGAAACTTTTGCTGGAACCATTTTGAATAGGTATTTCACTTACATGGCCCTGACCTAGATGTTAGGCGTACTCAAGTGTAGTGCGCATGCCTGGATTTTGAATTGTCGATCGAATAACTAGACCAATAAGAGACTAGACGCTAGCAGGAGCTGTTCATTCGTACGGCTTCGTCCAACTTCTTACGGCTTTCGATTGCGCTCCCGTTCGACAATTGACCAATCCTCAGTGTTAATTGATATTCGGAGTATTGGAGTTGCGCCATTGCGCCAGTGTCTGCCTAACAGACGAACTTATGTAAAATATACATGGACTGGTTATCTAGTTGTCCCTAACTCGGCTTCAACTCCATCACATTCCAGGGATAGGCTATAATCTGTATAGAGCTTATAAGTATATGACTTGGGAAAGTACTTGCTCTTCTTTTTTTATTCAGTACATCTTATTGTACCTATTGAGCGTATTGACTATACTCTTCGTACACACGAAAATCGGCACCCAAAGTCAGAAATAAGCTATATGTAAAAAGAATTTTCAACAACCCTAAATCGTACTTAGCAATTTAGTTGAAATTAATTTAAATGACTTTAATACAACACTAAAAATACCCTACCAACAAAAGAAACAAAATTAATAGAAAAATCTTGTAGGCTCAATTTCTTCATCGCAAACCGGCCAGTCAAAGCCCCCAGTTCAGCTTGGAACAGATCTTTTGCCACCACTAAATTCGAGAGCTTCCCCTGGATCCAATCGAGGACATTCTGAATCGAATCAAGTAAACTTTGGATCAAAATTCGAAGCCACAACGCCAGATTATCCAAAGAGTGTGGAACCTACCAGTCCAGATCCAAGTAACGTTGGACTATTGCCACCATTGGAAAACGGTAAAATAAACTACTTACTAAATTTGATATTTATACATTTCATTTCATTTTACTATTGACTAAGAATATTGAGACTACTAGTTACTCTGAAATACACATATTCCTAGAGAGGAGAAGAAACTTGTTCTCAATTTTTTCCTTCATACTGTTCTGAAATTTTCTCTAAATTCTCAATTTTCTCGAGAATATTAAGAAAAAAAAAACGAGAAATTCCGAATAAAATTTAAAAAAAGTGGCCGATTGATTTTTGATAAATTTTTAATTTGGTTTCATTCATAGAATTCGGTATTTACTGCAGTATGATGATGATTTTTCATGATTTTTCTTATTTTATTTTGTTTATAATTATAAATATTTGTGTTTTGTTCTTGGACTAATAATATTATATTAACCTTTAATAAAATATAACTCTATATTTATATTGCCTACTTATCTTAATCTGATCTTTGAGAACTTTATTTATATTTTGGCATACGCCTGGTATTATTTTTGAAATGCTTTGCTTGGAAGGTTGCAGGATCACGAGCAACGTTCGCGCATCTTAAGATTCACAATAATCTTACTGTAATTCATGTCCTCACAGTATAAAAAAAAGCTGTTTTCAACTTCAGCAGGCATTTTTTAACTTCATAGCGATACATGTTTTACCGATTTAGATTACTTTCTGGAAAAGTTAACAGAAAGAAGGTATTTTCTCATACATCGAACAATAATAACGTATTAGAATTGATAATAAAATTGATAATTTACTGTTTCCAGGCGCTTCAAAATCTCAACAAAAAGGCATCAATCTAGAACAGAATAAATTCGAGAAAACCTTCAACCGAAGAATAGATGAAGAAGACCCTCTAGTCCTAGGAAACACGTTTAACAGTAGACAGCTCACTGAATTCATGTTAACCATGAAACCCGAACAGCTGAAAGACTTAAAAAATATGTGGCACATTCCAGATTACGATTTTCCACTGGAAAGCGTCTCTGGACCTAATTACGGTAGTGAACTAAGTTCGTTTCAGGCCAAACCCTCCAGGAGGAGGTAATTTATGATGTAATTTATTAGAAAAAATACCTGTGAAAAGAAATTCATGATAAAATTTGAATGATGAAGGATGTAATTTTTTAGAAATTATATTATTTATCATATCGCATCTAACTGTATAATGTACATAGTAGTTTTAGATATTTAAATAGCTGAATGTATGCGACGAACTTTAAGTCCAGGATATATGCAACTGGCGAATGTTACCATTCGTTCACAAAAAAATCCAGATCTTGTAAAGAATCCACACCTGAGAAGGATTTCTTAACGGATGCGAACGAATAACATTCGTCGTGTATCCTCGGCTTTAGAATTAAACCAAAATGAAATATATTGCCGATGACCTTGATGTATGTGCCTTTTTAAGGCGTCTAAAAAGTATAAATTTCAGTGTGGTTAGAGAAATTTAAATAAGGATAAAGGAATTAAAAGAAAGATTCAAGTGTGGCTAAGTTGCTCAATCAGATTCAAGCAAAAAAATTCAAAGTGAAAATATTTCATATTTTCAACCAATGACTAAAGAATACAAAGACACGTAACGCCCATATACTAGCTGGAACAAGGTTATTATAGGTTCGTTCCAACCGAATCGAGAACCGATCCTGGGACAGTAATTTGTAGTCGCCCACTCATTGTTTGAAAAGTTTGATGGTTTGTCAAGATTAACAAATGAATTGACTGATAGGAAATTACCGTTTTAGGATGGTTCTCTCGTCCGGTTGGAAGAAACATTATGTTAAACAGGTTGCCTCGTAACTTTGGACCAATCACAGTAGTTGGCGCGATGACGTCAGCTAGCGTGATATTTAAAATAACTATTAACAAAATGTTTAATATTAATAACAATTACACAAGTTAAATTGTTTTTCTATAAAGTCTTTATTTATTTTTCTCTAATTTTGCTAACATTTAAAATGTTTAAGCAATATTTGTATTCGAAAAAAAATAGTTTTAGCTTTTTACCATGTTAAAATATCGCGAGCTAGTCGAAATAATTTATTATACATATACGTCACTCAGCAACAACAATACTGAACATTATAGGCTGTTACAGGTAGGAACGATCTCCATTTCTAAGGAAAATTTGATAAATGATTTTAAAAAACTATCTAGTTCATCAATTATAATACGTTAAGTACACTAAAACTTTAAAAATATATTATATCCACTAAAACTGTCCTATAATCCACTCAAATGCACTTAATACACTTTTTGAAAACTTTCGGAAAACAATGTAAAATTATTGGTAAACAAGCTGAAAACTGCTGAGTACTAGACCATGTACTAGACGATGATGAGTAATATGGCGGCTAATGTCAAGTTACGAGGCAACCAATGACTAAAGAATCCAAGGACAAATAACGCCCGAGAGCAAACTGTGACGATATCACCAAACAGTGCCGTGGCACATATTTTTCTTAACCTAGCTGTTTGAAGAGATTTATATTTTTTGACAAATGTTTTGACTACGCCTAGGGTGTATACGTTGGTATCATACTAATTAATTACGAAAAAAACGTATTTAAATGTTAACAAAACTAGTATCGACGTATAGGATACATCAAATACATATAATATCAGAAAAATAATTATCGAATTCAATAAGAAAACTAAAAAAACGCTAAAAAGGTGGAGCGGACTGTTTATTTACCTATGAAACGTAACTCCTGGTTCTTTCTTATCGCTGCTGTTTTTACACTTGAAAGCTGAACAACTAATCACCATTGTAATAAAGTTTATACAGAGTTCACTACATACAAACCATTAAAAATCGCTAAAATTGTCGCTGGTGACCAGATGATGACTCATTGTTTGCCATCAAAAGAATGGTGTCTAAGGTCACAAATTCTGCTGCAGCCCGTATATGGGCGTTACATGTCCTTATATTCTTTAGTCATTGGAGGCAACCAATTTAATAACCTTGACGCTGGAATAGAATGTGTGTTGTTAGACGCCATTTTTTTTGAGACAACGGATGTGTCACCAGCGACAATTTTAGCAATTTTTAATAGTTTGCTGTGTGTAGTGAACTTTGTATAAAATGTATTACAATGGTGATTTGTTCAGCTTTCAAGTGTAAAACGATAAGAAAGAGCCAGGAGTTACGTTTCATAGATAAATCAACAGTCCACTCCACCTTTTTAGCGTTTTCTTATTGAATTTGATAATAATTTTTGTGATATTATAATATGTACTTGATATGCGCTAGATATCGAAACTAGTATTGTACCTTTTGTTAACATTTTAATACTTTTTTTTTTAATTAAATAGTATGATTCCACCTAAATAAGCAGCATACGCCAGAGGCGTACTCAAAACATTCATCAAAAATATAAACATCTCTTCGAGGAGCTAAGTTAAGAAAAATATTTTTGGAGACATGGTAAGAATTTGGTCTCAGGTGTTATTGGTCCTTGTATTATTTACTCGTTTACAAAACATTTAGGCTTTTTTCCAAAAACATTTTGCAACATAAAACTCTTAACTTGCTCAATATTTTCACTTGTAGTACACTTCAAAAATTCGGACCCTTTGTGCAGGAACTATTAAAAATAATTGGGTTGGCATAATTGGTTGGTTTAATTTATAAGTATAAAAGGCATATACAAAGCCCAAATTTTGAAATTAAAATTCAAGGTCATATGCCACTTGAAAATGGACCAATCTAAATATAGTTGCATATTTTTAGTATAGAACATAATCTAGTTCCTTTTATTATATTGTAAAAAGTACTAATGAAGAATTTTAATTACAAAGAAACACTGTGCCAAAAAATAATTATTATTATAATACATTATAATAAATTTTCAAATAATAAAATGCCATTTACTACCTCAGCAAGATATGTTTTTCTGATTTTCTTTTATAGCTCTAGTTCTCTGTGTTTCTTTTTAATTAAATGAGAATCCAAAATATTTAGTATGATATTATAGGTTATGTATTTTAATTAATGAACTGAATTCCGATTTTATCACAGAATTACTTACAGAGAAGCGACAGTGGCGATCTTTTCCTCGACTCATTTTTAATGCGCATTTACAAAACAAGCTTTAATATTTGTTCTTTTATCCCCTTGTAATCACGTTTATATTTATTCTATTGTAAAATGTTTTCTTTTTGTTAATTTGTATTTATTAAATTTAGTAACGTCACAATAAAATAACAAGCATTTCTGAAATAATAATTGTGACTGAAGGATAGGAAATCTGGCTGCACTTACTTCAAAAGAGTCGACGCTTAATGTCGCATCTGTAAACCTAAAGTCTGTTCAACGAATCAGGCAAAATTTTGACAGACGACATCCAGAAAAATGACAGACATCAACTGTCAATGTCAGGTATCCTCTCGTTGACAGATTTATAATGTTATTCTATGGTCTTATCTATAATAATGGATAGAGTTACTAAAAAAATAAATGATACATAGTTAGTGTTTGTATGAAATTCGCTCAGTGTTATTTTATAAATTTAATATGTACTATAAAATTGATTAGGTATATCAAGTATTTCTAAGCAATTAAATATTATTAGAAAAATCTATTATTAATAAAATTACATTCCAAGAAACAATTCCCAATAATAAACTCGACTACAACGATCGTTCATCGGTACGTCATAATTATTTATCTAATATCCGTTTTAGAGATCAGTTCATATTGTTTAGAAGATTTAGACAGTGCGCAAACTCAAACTCTCTCAAACTTCCCTCCACTCTACTTCCTACGTAAATAATAGTAGTTCCACGCAAGGTTCAATAACAAACAATAAATAATAAATTTGATATGGGCATGTTTGGCCTTTCCTAAGTGTTTCAATTTATAACTTTAGGTGTACATACCAGTGTTAGTAATAAACAGTTTAATAACAAACGGATTTATATATTATTTCATAGTCGTTGATATTTTATTTTAAATTTTACACCGATCGATATCCCTCAACACAAAAATGAAATAACTAGTTACTAAAAACAATGTACAGTGATTGACGAAATACCTTAATGATGTCTACAATCTGTTTCATCCCGTTTTCACGTGAAAGAAAGAGTTTGATAATATATGACGTAACGTTGAACGGTAGTTGTACAGACTATACATTAGTGCGTTCTAAGTGTTTTGAATATTTGCGACTGGTAGTAATATAACACGGGTTTTATCTATAATTACCTTTAGAATAAATGTAATTAATTTGTACCATTCAAATGTAAAATATATTTAATAAATAATTCCATAATTACCACGAGTTATTTAATTCTTTTTTTTTAATCAAATCAAAATACTAGTAACAGAAATTATTTCGTTTCTTGGCTTTAATAGTTATATTATTTAACAATCATGATATTATAGCTATTACCTACCAAAGAACTTCATAGTGTTATTTTTTTCCTATTACAAAGCATGTCGCGTGCTTGTGCAAAGCTTTTGTGCGCGTTTTTGATAGGTACGCTAACTTATGTACGGTTTTTCGTACGCGGTTGGTATTTAAAGTTGTTTTTAGGTGACCCTTTCAATTTTAGTATTGTCTCTGTGATTGTTTGGGTTCCAGTAGCAGTTCAGAGGGAGATTTTCTTATTTTATGTACAGGGTGGTCGAAATTGGTCTGTTTTAACAGAGAAAACCTATTTCCTGACTAGATAGAGCAAAACCGACATAGATGTCATGGGCTTGATTTCCGAGATACGTTTAATGGCGTAAACCGCCTGTTGATATTTTCACTGCCAACTGAGATACGGGGTCTTTTTGAATTTTTTACCATTTGGAAAATTGCCCATAACTTTCGTATTTCCCGGAATAATATAATTCTGTAAAAACGTTCTTAAGGCACTTTTTTAAGCACAATCCAGTGGCGTACTCAGTTTTTTTCTATGCTTGCTCTTTTTGTCAAAAATAAATATAATTTTTTAAATGGAAATCATAGTTGGCTATGAACTTAAAAAAATGCTGACATTTAACCCTTTCCAACGATATAAAGTTATAGGTATCTATTTCTAAGAATGAGAGAAATATTAGGTTTTTTATCTTTATACTGAAGCGGGCTTTGATTTTGTGTTGACCTATTTATCTAATTATTTTTTATCACAATTTAATATTCTATATTATTATTTATCTGCATAATTAAAGACTTTTGAAAAAGTAAATTAACATTCTATTGTTAGTAGTAATGGTAATTATTAGTATTAGTAATTACAACTGTGTGAAATCGGTACAATAAGCAAAGAACAAAACTAAAAAAACGTATTTTTTGCGTGACGAATATAGTTCTAAAAAAATCAAAGATGTTCAAACTGAGCACCTCCTTGTTGAATACACAATAAACATCTTTTGAGCACAGGGTTACAACAATTGATTAGGCAAACTGGCGTAATAAGTCCAAAAGCTTGCCTAGTAGCCTTCAGCAATTATTCTTCTCTCGTCTCAATGGTTCTTCCCTTATATATACGGTCTTTTAATTCCCCCCATAAAAAAGTCGGAAAAAGGAGTTAAATCGCAGAACCTAGTAGGCCAAGAGCAGGCACCTTGTTCCAACCCAATTCTCCCTAAATTCTCCATTTAATAGTTCAGTTGTAATCCTGGCGTTTTAATTGTAACTGGTAATACTGTTACGTTTTTCGTCGGTTCCGTGTCACAATTTATTTAAACACTATTTATTTAACACTAATTAACAAAAACAATAACGATAAAAGACTTATAGAACTATTTACAAACGATTTATAACTAAGAATTTATTTTGAATTTTAGCGCGTCAACTGTATATTTATAACTGCCCCCTCTAGGCCACAGCCGCCGGCTTTTATACCTACAGTTAAAGTTTACTAGAATAGTCCATAGATCGTTAGGTGCATAGAGAAGGTTTTCGAATGTTCTCGTATGTACTACTCCATTCCAGTGGGACTCGATCCTTCTCGAATCTTCGAATGAAGCATTGCGGTATCTGTGCGATGCTAAGGTCATCCGAGGGCGGGCCATATTGTTAGGTTAGGTCGAGTCCACACCGGTCCGCAACAATACTAATATAGAATGTTGATTTACCTTTTCAAAGGTTTTTAATTATGCAGATAAATAATAATATAAAATATTAAATTGTGATAAAAAATAATTAGGCAATAGGTCAACACAAAACCAAGGCCCGCTTCGATACAAAGATAAAAAACCTAATATTTCTCTCATTCTTAGAAATAAATACACATAACTATATATCGTTGGAAAGGGTTAAACGCCAGCATTTTTTTAAGTTAGTAGCCAACTATGATTTCCATTTAAAAAATTATGTTTTTTATTATTTCTGTCAAAAAGAGCAAGTATAGAAAAAAACTGAGTACGCCACTGGATTGTGCTTAAAAAAGTGCCTTAAGAACGTTTTTACAGAATTTTATTAGTCCGCGAAATACAAAAGTTATGGGCAATTTTTCGAATGGTAAAAAATTCAAAAAGACCCCGTATCTCAGTTGGCAGTGTAAATATCAACAGGCGGTTTACGCCATTAAAAGTTTCTCAGAAATCAAGCCCATTACATCTATGTCGGTTTTGCTCTATCTAGTCAGGAAATAGATTTTCTCTGTTAAAACAGACCAATTTCGACCACCCTGTACAACATTATAGACATATATTTATAAAGTAACCATATTGTCTCCAAACTACATTCTGTGAAACCGAGCCGGTGAAATGGGTATATAAATCCCATGAAGGAATTTGCATAAGTCGTTCAGTTAGGCCTGCTCAAGCGTAGTGCGCAAGCCTGGATTTTGAATTATCGATCGAATAACTAGACCAATAAGAGACTAGACGCTAGCACCAGCTGTTCATTCGTACGGCTTCGTCCAACTTCGTACGGCTTTCGTTTGCGCTCCCGTTCGACAATTAGCTAATCCTTAGAGTAAAGGCTAATCGACGTTCGGAATTTTGGAGTTAACGCTATTGCGCCAGTGTCTGCCTAACAGAGGAACTTATGTGAAATATACATGGACTGGTTATCTAGTTGTCTCTAACTCGGCTACAACTCCAACACATTGTAAACATAAATTTAATCCATTGCACGGTTTTTCGGCGCGCTTTGCCTAAGTGCGCGACATGCCTAAAGCTGAAACTGAAACAATAGTTTTATCTACTGCAACATAGATTTTAACCAATCGAATGTTAAACATCAGTGGTAATAAAAAATTATGAGTAATTACCAAAAAATAACTTTATAAGAGCATTTACCTAGACATCCAAATTATAAAATAAACGTTTATAAAAACAAATTTTCTTCTGTAGCATTACTCTCGTCCAAAAAAAAGGCATGAAAATATTTTAAAAAATATGCATTTATTTTCTTTTGTGCAATTTACAAAATAAATTATAAATAATTTTTAACACGAACTGGACGAAAATATTAATGTATTAAAATAACATAGACTTTACAGTACTTTTTAAACAATAAATAGAACTATATAAAACGCATAGAAATATATCCTGCCTAACTAGACTTGTTTAACTTAACTAAATTTTCTACCAAAAAAATCCAAAAATTTGGTGTTTTCCTACAAAGTTAAAGTTTACCCAACGAGTCAGGAAAGATTTCAACAGAAGATATCCAAAAATGACAGAGAATACAATTTACCTGTGACTCAAAATGACAGACAACTGTCACTCACAAGAATCCTTTCTTTGGTCAGGATTATATGCTTATATATATGGAATCAATCAGAAACATCAATATACAGGGTGAGTCAAGTGCAAATATTTTCAGGAGTGGTATATTTCGACCCCAGGAACACGTCTATGAGGTTTTTTTTCGCAAAAAAATGTTTAAAATCATGCATTTTCTTTTAAATTTCCCTGTATATTTTTCGAAAACTTTTTAGAACTGCCTGTTCACCGCAAATTTTTCCATGGTATAATTTTTTAATCTCAGATATTACCATAGTTACAGCTTTTCTCTATGGTTACGGCACTAAAAGGGATGCAAATACAGAAAAAAATCCGGTGGCTCTCAAAATTTTACCAAAATAAATCAATTTTTTTTTAATTTTCAAACTTAAATAACTCGGTTATTTTGGACTTATTTGAAAAATGTTAAAGAGAAAATATGTTTATTTTATCGAGATCTACGAGCCCTAAACATATTTGCACTTATTTAAGACTCACCCTGTATATTTCTGTCTTAATTTGTAACAGGTTTGTCAGCCAAAAAAAGTAAAGTCATGTGTTGTTAGTAAAATTAGAGCTGAAAATATTGACAGGTGTCTAATGAGTCTTTTAACTTAATATTCAGATCTAATGGAATAGTAATAATGAATTTTAATTTTTTCTGACTCATCATCAGATTTAATCATCTGCTGATGATGCTAACATGGTTAGTGAAACGCGCGTCCAATGTTCAAAATAAAGTATTTTGGCGTATTATGAATTTTTGGTGTTATTTTGCTGGCTTATGTTCAATTTTATTTGCTGAATCGTGGTTTCATTTTGCTCTTGTAACACCAAAAGTCCCAACCCCCCAATTGAATTTTTGATATTATGCCGAATTTATTCCGAGTTAGAGAATTACAACGTGTATAAGCAAATAACTTTGTAAGAAGAAAAAACTGAAACTTGAAATGAAATGAAAAATGAAAACCCCCTTTTTTACCATCACCGCCTGAATAGTTTCTCACATACTCACTTGTAACAGAAAAATAATCCTTTTTATAATAATCAGGCAGGATATATTACTAAAACCCAAATTTATACCTCGCTACCTTAAATACTGCATTTTTTTCGTCGTCGTCGTGGGCGTGCTCAAGTGCTTCACCACCTTGGGCATCAGTTGCATCTTGTCCATGATCGATTTGGGAATGCTGTCCGTGTCCAGGTAGTTCGCCGTGCGACCGTCGGGGTACTGGTAGCGCACGTGGTGCTTTCCATCGACCCACAGCTGGGATCCGTCGTTGTATTTGACGCGGACCTCGCCGTTGGCCAGTTGGATGGCCGTACCGACGCCCGGCACCGATACTCGTTTCTCTTTGGTGGAGCTTAGGCCCAAGGAGGTGCCCGGAGTGGTGCTGTTTATTGACATCGTGAACGGAGTCTGGAAAATAACAACGCAATTTTGAAGAGAGTTTGTAAGGTTTCGCCTCATTATTGTGAACGACTTGATAAGAAGACAGGAAGGAGAAAACCCACCGCATTTTGAAAAACCTTCCACACCAGTTTTGTTTGGAATTTTCCTTGATAAATTAAATTTCTATTGCGTTTGGTGTCTAACAAAAATATATACGCGTCGCATGGTGCGACATCAAATTTGCACTTTTTTTTTCAACTACATTGTATCGATATATTGAATGATGTAGATTTTTTGAGTTACCAATAGTTACCAAAAAGTAGTAAACAACTTTGATGCTGAAATGTTTGTAGTTTCCCTGCTCATATTTATTTTTACCGGCCGTTGTCAGACTGGTGAAAAAAACATAATTTTTAGTAGTCTCACACCGGTTCAGTCGCCAAGAATTTGTTGAAGCCCTCAAGAAAAAAGGTGCTACAACCAACATCCAGACCAGTTTGACCGTTATGTGGGATGTTGTGTTGCAATTCTTAGATCTCAACTCTCTTAGTGACGATGAAAAGAAAGGTATTGAGACCCAGCTGCGATAATTTTTCATTGTTTCATATCGAAAGTGGAAAAAAAAAGATGCTTTTGCTTAAAAAAGTTTCGCAAATAAAATAAATCGTAGCTAGAAGGCATTTTATTAGTCACAGGTACTGATGTTAATATTTCGGAAACTTTTGATTGTTGCAGGAAATTTCCGAAACTTTCGGAAACATTCGGAAATTTATGAAATTTTAGGAAATTTTACAATTTTACATATTTTTTGTTGATACAATGAATAAATTAGATAGACATTTGTTACCAACATGTAAGTGAAAAAAAACCATAAACATAATATTAGTTGTTATATTTTTAATAAACAATACATAACTCCTAAAAGTCATAAACATAACATATAACAAAAATTATTTGGTAACATTTGTACTTTGTACATAAACCATGAACTATGACTATGAACTTAAAAAAAACAAAAAAGCACGAAATATAAATTTAAAAAACGTAAAACACAAATAATTGAATTATTCTATTCCGGAATACTTTCAGGCGCCGAGCTGGCGGTGGGAACCTTCATAGGGTAATATAGTAGTAGTAGTAGTAGTACTGTCTTTGTCAGTTTTTATTTCCAAATCAGGTATATTTGATGTATCATCTGGTTCTGATTGGATGGACCTCTACCTCTACGGGTTCTAGTCTAGTGGTTCTGGAGGAGTTTCATGTTGTTGCATATCATGTTCCATATCCACTTTTTGTTTTTGTAGTAGGTAATAATTTATTGTTATGAGCTACGAACATTATTTTGCCAGTTCTTTGTGCAGTTAAGCGATTCCTTTTTTAGTATGGATAAAACTGTAAGTACTGAAACTTCTCTCAGTGGCTGCAGATGACGTTGGTAAAGAAAGCAGAGCAACAGCTAAATATTTCAACTGAGTATTTTTACATATTGCTTGCCACCAACTTAGACAGACTACATTTTTAACTGACATCCAAACGTAGTCGAGAGCCCATAAACCCGATTTGGCACAATAATTTGTTACATCTGTAAAAATGGCTTCTTTATTATTGACAAACTGAGGATGTTTGTTGGTGATATTGTTGATAAATTCCATAGCGGCTATGTGTTCTTCATTGTTACAGTGCTCTCCCAGGAAACAGAGGGGGCCAAGAGATTCGCGGTCAAATGCATTATTTTAAGAGCCATACGTTTTCTATTTTGTAAGGCGGAGAAGCATTCTTTTTCTTCTGATTTAAGAATAGGCATACTTGATACACTTTCGTTAAATTTTAGCTCAATGTCTTGAATTTTGAAAAGAAATTTCTTGCAAAATTCGGATTTTTGCGAATATTCGCGATTTTGGGACCGAATATTTCGGAAATTTCTGAAATTTCCTGCAAAATTCGAATGGAAATATTCGCTACCAACATCACTAGTCACAGGGAGTTCAAGTTTAACCCCCAAATGTTTCATTTCAATCGACTAGAATAAAAACGAAACTAAATCTCGTTAATTGGTTAATAGAAGAGCATTCAAAGGAAAAATTGGGTTTTGCAACTACTATGAGTTTTAGAGCTAGTGGGAGTAGGGATGCTGTTGTAATCGTTAAAACCTTAACAGAAATTCTATCGAAAAGCACTGAGTTGAAAAAATCAATGAACGGCACCAATATTCAATTCGGCAATTTTTCTCCTGATGAAGCTCTGGTTGTATTTGCGGATTTGAAATGAACACAAGCTCATTATCAACTTCTTACGAATACGTTAAAATTAAAAGGTCGTAAAGATGTGTTTCCCAGTTACAAGCACATTTTGGCAGCTAAGACAAATTGTTATCCAAATGGCATGACAATTTCGGATAAGGTTTCAGAGATTAATCTTCAATCATCACTAAGATTGATCACTTCAATCATCACTAAGACCTCATGAAGATTGACAGTCTCAAAAAGAGATATTATCTTTTTTTGCATCAAATGGCGATGAATCTCCTATCAAACATAACTTCTATGTTAAATGGGGTGTTAATGGTAGTGGCGGTAAAAATTATTTTAAGCAACATTTTGAGTATGAAGTTTTTGATGATACATGTATATTAACAACTTGCCTTGTTCCATTACATCTAACTCTTGATAAAAATGAACAAACAGTTTTCTGGAAAAATCCAAAAATGTCATCTACTAAATTTAACTATATGGTTGCTATATATTAGACAACTTGCTACCTTCTTAGATTTTATTTAAGTCCCAAACATCGCTTCTGAGGTTTTGTCCCGCTAGAATTACTATCTGCTGCACTGTGCGTAGGATGCAGTTTCCTCACTCTGGATCACCTTTAGTTTTAGACCACCTTTTTAGTTACAAGAATGGCCGTCAAAAAGTGGGTGGATAATGAGAACAATGGAGAAATTCACCAGTACAGAGACTAGGGGAAAACCGGGATCCCGTTGTATGTTTATCGTCGAAATCCCGATATTAAATCCAAGGATCCCGAAAAAGTAGAAAGAATTAAAAGCCCAATCTAGTCTTTCTAAGATCATCTTTTATTTATACTAAGGAGAACGTCAATGTCTAAAACTTATATTTCCGTGTTTGCTACACTTTGTGTGTTTTTATTTTGCAACAAGAAATATGAATGTTACTTTGTTATGTCTATTTTAATAAAACTCTTCTTATTTTCTTTTTGATATATGCTGCATATTTATTAAGTATTTCTTTATATTAGATCTCTTAATCTGAGAGCCAATTTCGGTTAGGTTGAATTGCCCCTCTGTATTATCCAGATTTAGATCCTATCAAATTGTTTACATAGAAGCTGAAAGTTACCCTCAGAAAACGGAAATTTCCGTCGTTCCTAACAGTTGTTTTACTGACATTAACGTCAACTACTATTAGATTGGGTTGATGAGGTGGGAGCATCACATTTTAAGTTTTTAAATTTATCAAAAAAGTCAGGATAAAAAAGCCTTTAAAAATGAGTTCGACAGTTTGTTGGCTCGAGCCGCAGGCAAGGGCCACAAGTCGAACGAGTGTACAAAGAAGTTTTTGAACGAGTTTTTTACGCTATTTTTTAGCAGCAGACTCACTCAGCTTTTGCCAGTTTTGTGAAATAATTTGCGATGTAATGATAACACTTATCTGACGGCTGCGTTGCGTTTGGCGTTTCAGCTAAACACTGGAGGTTAAAAATGTTAAAATTGGCACATGTCGTGTGCAAAATGGCACATGTCGTGCGCTAAATCCTTAGCACACAACAGTTTGCAAAACGCCAATTTCAGACCGAGTTTTCCGTGTGTCAAACTGCATTTTCTAGGCTAGTCGTAGAAAAAGATAATTTTATAATAATAAGGAATGTTTAGGCTGCATGTATTTTAAACACATTTCCCCAAACTAAATAAAACAAAATACACTTAATTATTGTATATCCTTAAATATATAAATAATTCCTCAAATAAAACCTCCAGTGATGTTTCTATTTAATTGCTTAAAATCACTTTTTATAAAACGCTTTCTGTTCAAAAATTCTAAATTGGCGCCCCCAGTTCGTAGGATATCAAAGAATAATACCTAGTTATGAAAGTATATAAGTATAAAAACAACGTCAAGTTAACCTGGAAAAAAAAACTTCCCCTAGGAGATGCAAGACCACGTCGTTGGTGGGGAAGCTCCTGGTCAGGTGCTGGGGGGAATCCCCTCTAGCACTTGGCTTGGTCTAAGAAGCATCTCACTCATCGTCTTGTCCCTGACTGTAGTGTCGTGGCCAGGGAATTGCACCAAGACATATAACGATACCGGGCGGGGCTACGGACGGCCTCAACCTTGCCAGGGCACCGGGGGCACCCCATTGTATTTACCCCTTACTTCTACTGCGGGGCTCTGTAGAAGTGGACCGACTGTCCCTAGCGACTCATAGGAACACTATGAGATCTGGTAATAATAGTAATAAAAACATCACCGGTGAAGCTGTGGGGAAACCCCCTAGCGACACTGGGAACAGTAACAATGAAAGTTCCAAGGGGCCAAACCCAAAGAGAACTACAGGAGAGGTGGCTGACACTTGCGTGAGACCATCCTCCGCAAGTGGCATACAAGCTACCACCTCCTCCAAGGGTCGGGAGCCTACCTCCTACCTCTAAACCCAACAGGCGACACAAGCTACCGTTTCGTCTACCCGGCCTGGGTCGTAGCTCCTCGACTGTGAAGGACACGGGTCTCCGTAGGAAGTCCTGGGACTGTATGATGAGTTATAACTCAAGAAAGGGGGACACAATAGATCTCTAAGGTCGCAGAGATTAACCCCCCTCCCACTTATTCTAATTCTAACCTGGAAAACCATAACTAATATTCCTATTACAATTTTAGAAATAAAATGACAGCAATTATCATTTCCAAGGCAACTCTGCGTCATAGCACAATTTTTTAACTCTTATAAAAGCTATCAAATATTTTAGCAAGTTAATAAAAAAATTTACTTACCATGATAGATCTGGACACATTTTCTTTTGCATAAGTAGATATTGTGTTCGTTGGTCTCCTGCCGACAATAATAGGAAAATTGGTACCGTGCAGTTTTGACAGTGTATTTTCCAGCATTAAGCAATGCTCAAAGCACTCCTGGGTATGCGTCCACATGAGTTCAAGTGTCCCGTTCAAATTGTGACATTCGCTGTTGGTCCGAAAATTACACTTGTGACCGGAAGGATCGATAAAGGTTATGCCTTCGGTAGTCGATCTTGTAACCTTTCCACCTTGAGTAAAACAAGAATGATTATAAACATTTTTTAAATAAATAAAAACAAAATCTAATCCTAGGAATACCGAAAATTTTCCATTTGTCAAAATATTACAAATTGTCTTATTTTTTCTCTCATGGAAACTTAACTGTATTTTATTCTAGGTACTAAATAAAAGTACAGGGTGTCCCATTTTCGAGCGTTTTATTTTTTTATTGTGGGTTTCTCGCTTATGAGTAGAGATACAAAGATGCGGTTTTCATATCACTGCTACTTTTTTATGAAACTAAACATGCTACAAACAACATTTGTCCTAGCCCTCTTAGTTCCTGAAATACTACTCCCCTCGTATCTCGGTTATCCTATAACTTATCGAAAAGACAAAAACCGAGTTCTGTGGAGCTATTCACGCTTTGAATAAGAAGACTAAGGAAGCAGCATATCAAAAATCTTTGGTACACTGCGATGAGCCTCAAATATGGCCGACTTAAATTCCGGTTTATCAGTGTCGTTCTAATTTTATTTAAAAAATGTAAAACTATGATGTAGGGTAGACGTGGGGTAGACTCAATAATTTGTTATTTTATTTTACGTTGTGAATAAATGTTGGTAGTTATTAAAATTGTTATAAAAATATATAATTCTAATAAAAATAGATAAGTTATAATAAGTATTTATTAACACAAACATCCGATACGCTACTGAAGCAAGTAAGTCAAATTAACGTATCTAAATTCTTTGACATCTAACCTTTGACAAGTAATAAATAAAAGCTAAAATGCAAGAAAAATATATAATTTAGTTAATTTAAGTGAATTTCATAAATGATCGGTTTACTACACGTATGTATATTATATAGTCACTTACTAGCGAAAAGTTGTTCCATTATTTCACTCGATTTTTGCCGAGATCTACCGCACGCTACACAACCAACTATTTTAGAGTCTTTTTCGATAAATCGCGATAGTGTCACTGATAATTTAAGTTCTGCTACAATTTCCATCTAGATTTACTACCTTTATACAACTATCAGTAGTAGAATAAATAATAAATAACATAAAATAAGCTCCGTAAAGACTGACAAATCCACAAAATTTCAAATCAAATTCAAATGTATCAAATGAATCGTCAAACAGAACTGTCAAGGATCCCCACCCTAGAGTGCTTTTTCCGCCCACCATGCATGAATACATGGATAGCATTATGCTCCTTCCTTAGTCTTCTTATTCAAAGTATTCACGTAGAATTTCAGTGGCGTAACTATTTTTTCGCTAAAAGCTGTCATTTTCGAAATATGATTCAAACTTATGTTTTTTTTTAAATGGAACACCATGTATATTATTTTTTAAAACCCCATAAAATACATGAAAATGGGACACCCTGTACAATATATAAAAAATGTAAAAAATTGCAAACTACACTATTATCTAATTTAAATATTGCCCTAATTCAAAATAAATACCGTATAATCGAAGAAAAACGGCGACAGCGATGGCTATGAAATTACGATCGATGACATTTCCCATATAAAATGACAGCGATCTTCATTTCATAGCCATCGCTGACGCCGTTTTTATTCGATCATACAGTACTTGTTAGGTAGAACTGGAAACGTCGCATTGGATCTTGGCATAAAATAAAATATAAACAGTTCCCTGTCATTACAACCTACCTTCATAAAAGCATACTTCAAAGTCAAGTAAATTCTCCATAAGTAGGCATTTGGCTTTGTCACTGTACAAAGTGACTTTTGGCGTTTTTGCTCTCACCAATTCCACAAACTTAAAGGCGTACATGTACTTTTTCCAGTGTTTTTCTGGCAGATTTTCTATGCTGAATATCTGATCTGCACCTTGAGCTGGAAGGGGTGGAGGCTCTTGGGCGGGAGGCAGTCCCCTACCACCTTCAGGTTCGTACAGAATTATTCTGAAATGTACATTGTAACAAAGTCAGTCAGAAAATTAAAAATTATATAAAACTAACACAAAATTTAAAAAAAGGCAAATCTAAAAAAGATTTGCTAATAAATATCTACTTTATGACCAATATTTAACAGTTAAAAATAAAAATATAAAATACCTTAATCCGTCAGGAGATATTCTCATAACCTCACATATTACATCCTTCTTAGCCGAGCCCTTCTTTTTTATGAATTCCACTACAACTTCGCCTCCATTTAAAATGCTTAAAATGGCATTTTTAGTCTGATGTCTGGTAGGAAGCAGTCTTTGCGAACAAAGCTGGACCAAATTCTGCGTTTTCACGATTTTTTTCGTGCTCTCATTGCCGTTTCTTTTTTTGAGTACGTTAGGTGGAATATCATCGGAGATGTGTAAGTTGTTTAAACTGATTTGTGAATTCAGATTTCCAGTATTTGATGTCGGAACCTGGTAACTTTGATTTGAGCACTCTGATAATAATGGAGGTGATATTGTGGGAATACCATTTAAAACTTGACCTATAATAAAAAAAATACTAATTAATTTTCTGTTGCATTTTCTTTGAAAACAAAACACATGAGTTACTTTCACTTTTTCTACTATACCGGGTGTTTTTCAACAGTGAAATTTAGTATGTTAATACATGACATAAATCGGGATTGATTGACACATTCAATTATTTTCAGTCACTTTCTGTTCCACTCGAAGTTACTACAACTTTTGATTTTTAAATTGTACCATCAGAATAATTGTTTTACTTTATTTGATAGAAAATGAATGAGATTCTGTTTGAAAGAAAATGAATTGACATATGTCACCTTTTGATATTCTTAATTAAAACAAAACAGTATTTTAAATGTCAATCTAGAGTGCCATGGCTGAGTTAAAACGTAGTTAGTAAGGTATGTAGTAATTTCCAGTGAAACAGGAAGAATCCTAACTTGTCATATTATATAAAATACCTAAACTCGTTTTGTTATCTGAAAAACACCCAGTAAATGTTTGCCATTAAAGTAAAATCTAACAATATCCACACCAAAAATTAAACATTAGTTGGAATTAAAATTCAAAATGTTCATTCATCAAATCATTATTCAGAACATTGGATATTGGATCACTCTGTAAAATTTACAATCTTACCTCCTGGATCACTGGGATGATAATGATGGTTGCTGTACTGACTCACACTCACATGATTGTCTTGATAGTGTGAATTAGTTCTCAGATCACAATTAGATCCATAATTGGGAAAAGCAGCTTCCTTAGCGCCAAAACTACACCCACTGCAACCATTTTCTTGCACAGAATTGCAATTATTTCTGCTATTCGAGCAATGCTTTGCATACTCCATACTCTGAGTTAACCGCCCTGTCCCACACACAGGTTCCACTGGGTAGCAATCGCTGTTTGCTTTTCGAGAATGTATTAAATTGGATCCACAAAAGTTATGAGATAGAACACCGTCGCTGAAGGCACTGTCTCTTCGGCTTGACATCGTATGAATGCCACTGTCGTGAGTTAAATTTGAAATCATAATCTAAAATTAAAAAAATATTTATAGTAAATTTACTTTTCCTTCTAAATTCACTTACTTGATTCCTTTTGATAAATGGATGTTCTAATATTTGGTCTAAACTAATTCTGTCTTTTGGATTCTTCTGTAGCAAAGAATTTATCAGATCTTTTGCTTCGGGAGATAAATGACTAGGTAGATTGTAATTGGCCATTACAACTCTAGTCAAAGTACTTTTAACAGCTAAAATATAAATAACGTTTAGTAAAATAAAAATAATTTAATATATCAAACTGTATTATATAAATTAAAAACACTTACCTTGGGTGTCAAATGGAGGGGACCCTACTAAAAGAGTATATAATAAACATCCTAAACTCCAGACATCTACTTCAAGACCATGCGATCCTCTAGTGGCAACTTCGGGAGAAATGAAATTGGGAGTACCACACATTGTCATGTGTTTTTCATCAGGTCTGCTCAACTGAGTGGCTAATCCAAAATCAGAAATTTTCTAAAGAGAAAAAGTAATCCTAATTAATATATAAAGCTAGAAATTTGTATGATAAATACTTTTTACAAAAATGTTATAAAACTATATAGTCTACATTCAACTTTAACTTACCACTTGCATGTCTTTTGTGAGTAATAAATTAGATAGTGATATATCTCTATGTAGGATATTGTGAAAATGAAGATATCTAATGCCCTCAACAACCTGCTTCATAATAGTACTAGCTTCACTTTCAGTAAGCATCTAAAAATTATCAAAGGTAAAAACTAATCATATTTTTTTAAATATTTCCATATAGGCATATTGCATAACTTACTATACCTTCTTTTTAATATATTGTTGTAATTCGCCATTATGGCACAACTCCAAAATCAGATAAACATAGTTCGCATCCTCAAAAAAGGTATATAGTTCCAAAATAGACGGATGCTTCAAACGGGAATGTATGGATACTTCTTGTTGTACTCTACCAACCATTCCTTCAGCTTGCATAATCTTTTTGTCTATCTATAACGAAATATAAGCTAGTAAACTATAAAAAAAATAGAGACCATATTAACTTACCATCTTAATGGCAACATCAAGACCCGTTTTGCGACATCTGGCCTTATATACCGAGGCAAATCCACCTTTTCCCAATAAGTTATGAACTTCATAATCCTAAAATTATAGTTTAGTAAAATATCTAGAGCACAAATTAATTAAAACAAATTATTTTCACTATAAACAATTCAAAATCTAACCTCAATTTTGTCGCTCAAAGAGTTTCGTCCGTTCATCTTGTACTGGAATAACAATAAGCTATGACCAACGAAGCACTTAATTATAAATTAGATTGCACTTAGCATTTTTCGTCTCTCGACTTTAGAACAAGTGTGAAAACAATATAAAATTTAGTTTAATATTTGAAAAATTGAAAAATCCACCCTCCGTTGACATATTGCAAATTCCAATGACGTTTGCTCTCTTTCTCTTTTTCACTTGTGTGGTTAAATGGAGATAGCAGGGAGATAGCTATATTAAAATAAACGGAAATTTGTTTGTATAGGTGGCGCTTTTGTGTATATTTAGTTGCCTAAGATAAAATGATAGAAACATCACAGTTTATTTTTTAAGCAGCTAGTCGATTTTCCTAGTTTCTGATATCCTCGCTTTACCTCTTTTTCGTACACCACATGCAGGCAGTCAGCATCAGAGTCGATAGTATTTATTATTTATCAATTAAATAATAAATAACGTATATGGTATACATGGGGCTTGGATGGAGCTCAGAATCCGACTTGTTACGTAACATAAAATATCTAGATAGTGAGTTCCAGGTAAATGAAGGTAAATCGACTGCAATCTAATGAGTAGGCACTTAGGCAGTGGAACCAAGTGGAACTATAAAGTAGTTTTTGATACATTTATTAAAAAGTACAAAACAATAATTTATATAACTTTATATACTAAAATCACTTTTGAATTATAACATGGCAAATTGTTTTCTTCAGTCTTCCTTATTTACCAAATGGCGAGCAAGCTCTATTGGCAGCTATTTTAACATCTAAAATATGAAATAATTCAAAAATTATATTAAATGCATTTTAAAATTACATACTTTTACCACATTTTACCGCGCATTTGTATCTCTCTATATTGCTATAAGTTATATTATTATCTCCACAAACTGGGTTGTACTGGGATGTAGTTAAGCATCTTGATTCACAGGCAGACATTGTGGTACCCATTCCAGGAATTGGTACAGTAGTAAAACCTGAAATAAATAGGTATATGATTAATATGACACTAATCAATAGAAATAATAAACTATTTTAGTTTGTAATAACGTAATTTACCTTGTGGTCTTGATGTGGATGACTGAAATCCGAAATTGTTAAAATTATTCTGGAAATTGTCATTTTGCGATTGAAATCCAAAATTATTCAAATTATTTTGAAAATTTCCATTTTGGGACTGACCACGGAATCCTCCAAAAGGGTTCTGAAAATTATTGTTTTGTCTTGGAAATTGCCGTTCTTCAAAACTGTTGAAATTGCTGTCGTCATTGAAATAAATCCTGTCTTGTATATTAACTAAAAGAATAGAATAATACAGTGTATCCCAGGTCCCAGGATGGACCTAACTAAAGTCTGTTCAATGAGAGTATATCCGACAGTGACAGTTGATGTCTGCATCATTAACATTCACAAGTAAATTAAATTATCTATCAGTTTCTAGATGGTCATCTAGTCATCTATCGAAATCACTCATAAGTCGTTGGGCAGAAACCTACTTAAAAATTTTGTTAATTTGCATTTGAATTCAGTAGTTTCGGAGAGCTAGAGCTAGAACCGCATAATCGAGAAAAACGGCGTCAGCCAACTGGACGCCATTTTTTTTTCGATCATACTTTATTAACTATGCCCATTTAATACTGTAAAGTCTGTCCAATAGTCATAAAAGATTACGACAGATGTTATCCAAAAAAATGACATAATTTAATTTGTTAACTATTTATTAAATAAAAAATAGATTTTAGCATTAGTGAAATCAGGAGATTAATTTATTTAAAATTTCTTAACATTTTATAATTTCACTAATATTAAAATCGACGAATCGTAATCTTTAAACGCAAATATCTTGAAAACTTGTTGAAAACCATTCACCTTTTCGAACTAAACGAAGAGCACCTTTTTCATGTAAAAAAATTCTAGCTTTTTATATTATTTGTTGAAATTACTCTATCTATAAGGGCAAAAGAAGTACCACTAGTAGAGTACTCTGTATTTTAATGGAAAGTACCCTTTCAGGGCTGTTACGAAATTTTACACAGTCGTCATTCGCTTTGGTGTGTAATTTAATCGTCATTCGCAAAATGTGTGTAAGAGTACCCAATTTCAGGAAAAACAGTTTACCAATGTTGTTAAAAATAAACAAAATACCGGGTGCGTCTCAAAAGTGGCTCACCCCCTATAACTTTTTTATTTTTTCAGATAAAACAACGAGATTTAGTATGTTAGCATATGACATAAATTGGGATTGATTGACGTATTCAATTGTTTTCGGTCACTTCCGGTTTCACCGGATAATAATTCGGATATGATAAAAAACCGGATATAATTTCCGGCGAAACCGGAAGTGACCGAAAACAATTGAATACGTCAATCAATCCCAATTTATGTCATATACTAACATACCAAATATCATTGTTTTATCTGAAAAAATAAAAAAGTTATAGGGGGTGAGCCACCCGGTATATTAGTTTTATTTAGTTTAGCGTTAGAGAGCATATATATGTTTATAGGAGCTTTTTGTTTTATTTTTATCTGTAGAATCATCCACAAAAGTTGATACACTATTTTTTGAGACCCCGTATACAAATCTAAATAGAGATAATTTATTGTAATCAATAAATAAATTCTATTCGATATTTTTACCTTGTTCTTCTGAATTGCCGCTAAATCTAAACTGCCTCTTTATTCTGGACTTTACCAATCCTCTTTGATGTCGACTATCAGAAATGGTTAGGGGGTGTACTTTTGAGGTCACTTCTTGTATGCATATGAATCCAATAAAATATCCTGCAAAAAACAGTAAATATTATATTCTTTGAAATACATTTTTTCTACTTACTACTTAAAATATGTTTTAACTGTTCTTTTAACATTTAATAAATTGTGTTGAATGAACTTATTTTGATTCCAAAAATTCGTAATGTTCAAGTACAATGTCCACGGAATATTGGGACACCTTGTATATTCTAGATTTGAACAAATTACACCAAAAAACAAATTGGAGAAAGGAGTTTTTTTGATTGTTATAAATACAAAATAATAATTCAAACTTTTTGGAATAGTATATTACATATCGAGGAGGGAAGTGTTTCATTACTGTCGAGAGATTGATATTGTCAATATACGGCGTAGCGCACAGTGCTTCGTCCCATGGACAAAAATCGAAAAATAAGTTAAAATTTACTAATATCTGAATATATAATTTTATACTTATAGCAATGTTCAAGCATCCTGTATATTATTTTTCATAAACAGCGTTTTTGTTAGCAAATATTTTCACTAAAAATAAATTTTGCGATCATTATCTCATCAGTGAAAAGAATAACATTCATAGTAGTTCTGTATATCATGGAGTTAAACGGTACGTACTTAATTGAAAGCCACTATGGATATTGTTAAACAAGGTATGTACTTTAAATTTATTTCTAAACAAGTTCGTGATTGTTTAGTTTTTATTTATTTTTTAAGATGATTCTTAAATGGATATAAAAACTTTACGTTTTCATACTTCAAAAAGGCTTTTAAAAAAAACATATCAAAACATATCGTATTTATTGAATATTTTTGTTGCCATATTCATACACTTTTAATTTTTGTATAGTTCACCTGCGTCTGCTTGCGACGAAGTTTATTTTATAATACTTTTCAGATGGAGTAAAATTGATAAGCAATGCCGATCTGTCTAATACTTGGCTTGATCATAAAGACAAGAACTCAAAATTATTTGTATTTCAAAAAATATGTTCTTATTAGATATTGATGAACCTTCCAGTCAAATGAGACACCACTTGTGCCTGAAAAAGTCCACTATGTTGGAGCGAAACGTCGCATAAAAAAAGTGCCCATCTTTCAATTTATTATATAATCTCATACCCAAGAAAAGGAAAAATAATATATGGATATGGTCTATTAAAGAGGTAACTATTAACATCCGAACCCCTCATAGCGACAAAATGAACAGTAACAACGCGAAAAAGTAACATATTAGAAAATGATGTACAGAAATATCTTATATGTGAGGATACTTCATCTACCTGTGATTTGGATACTATAAATTTGGAAGATTCTGTCAGCAGTAATTCTTCTGAGTCAGAGTAGTTACGATCTATGCATTTTGTTGTCCTAAAGTAAATTTATAGTATCTTAAGTTTTTTTTTAATTAAATATAACATTAATGTTTCTTTTTCATTAAAGAAAAACATTTTTATCTTATATTAGGCTTATATTGTAGGAATCATGTTCTAATGATATTTCAATTCTTTTTTATCACAGGAATTTATTTAATACTTACACCGTTTTCATACTATAAATTATTATTTGCTTAGATGGAACACAGCTCCAATATTTTTATTATTTATAAGATTTTTTTTTCATAAACGTGGGACTAAGAACATCATCATTTAGTACAATGAGAGTACTCATCATTTGTGTCAAATAAACCTAGTTTAAATAAATTGCTTCCAATAAAAGAGAAGTTTTGGATTTTTGTCCTCTAGAGCCATATGTTCGAAGCACTGTGTAGCGTCGAGATTAACTAAATCTCGAGACCATAATGAAAACTTTCCTCCGAGGTTTGTATACTATTTTATTTACAACCACATCATTAATTAAAAAATAGGAACAGTATTTTATTTTGAAAAAAAAAATAAATATGCGAAAATTTAGTTAGTTTTAAATATGCGAATATTTAATTATCAAGAAAATAGACATCGCACTATTGAACAACCCCGAGAAAAAGAAAGAGATCAGTTCTAAGATCGAAAAAGAACTAGAAATAGTACCTGTACGGGAAGAGGATGTCGAAAAGACATGGAATGATTTAAGAACTAGAATAACAAATATCCAAGAAAAAGATATTGGATTCACGGCAACCAACAAAAAGCAGGAATGGATGACACAGGAAATACTAGACCTCATGGATGACAGACGGAAGCAGAAGGCAAACCCGATAGAATACAAACGTTTAAATGGGATCATTAAGAAAAAGTGCCGGGAAGAGAAAGAGATCTGGATGTCAACAAAATGTCAAGAAATAGAGCAACTACAAGCAAAGTATGACACCTTCAATGTTTATAAAAAAGTGAAAGAATTTACAAACAGACACAGAAAACACCAAGAAACAATCCTAAGAAACGATAACAACGAGATAATTCTACGAGTAAAGGCTAAGCTTGTGAGATGGAAAGAATATATCGAAACACTTTTTAATGATGACAGACCCTGTTCCCCACCACCGATAGATCACATACTGAATGAAAAGGCTCCAGCAATAACCAAAGACGAAGTTGTTCATGCAATAAAAGCGCAGAAAAGCGGAAAAGGTACCGGTCCCGATAAAATAAACGTTGAAATACTTAAACTCATTGCAGATAACGAAAGCAGAAGTCTAGATTTGGTAACAGCATTATTTAACAAATTATATAGCTCAAGCAAAATACCGTCAGATTGGCTTAAATCAACATTCGTAACCCTGCCAAAGAAACCCAGTGCCTCACAATATGATGACTATCGGATGATAAGTCTTATGTCCCATGTCCTCAAAACCTTTCTTAGAATCATCCACATTCGAATCTACAAGAAGTGCGAAAATCAGATGGACAACACCCAGTTTGGCTTCAGAAACGGACTCGGAACGCGTGAAGCACTCTTCTCCCTAAATGTAATGACACAGAAGTGTAGAGACATGAATGTGAATGTATTTGCATGCTTCATAGACTATCGTAAGGCGTTCGACTGTGTTAATCATCAGAAGATGATCAAAATTCTAAGAACAACCGGAGTTGACGAACAAGACCTACGTTTCATATCAGAACTTTATTGGTATCAAACGGCGGTAGTTGAGATGAAGCAGTCAACATCGGAAGATATACAAATCAGACGGGGTGTTCGGCAGGGTTGCGTCTTGTCTCCGCTCCTGTTTAACCTGTACTCGGAGACTATATTTAGAGAAGCACTGGATCGAATCCAGGGCGGAATCAAGTTTAATGGAATCCCAATAAACAATATCAGATATGCCGATGATACGCTTATAATAGCCAACGATATACAAGAACTGCAAAGCATTATAGATTCCGTAGTCCACCACAGTGAGATGTTTGGACTGCATCTCAATGTCTCCAAGACCAAACTATTGGTCTTTTCTGAGACTCCAATAAATGCACACCTGCGTGTCAAGGGACAAACATTCGAACAAGTGACCTCAATAAAGTATTTAGGAGCTGACATCAATAGTCAGTGCGACCCAAAAAGAGAAATATTTTCAAGAATTGAGCAAGCGAGAAAAATCTTCGTGAGAATGAAATCATTTTTTACAAGAAGAGACCTCAGTGCGGATCTCAGAACTCGAATGGCCAGATGCTACGTCTTCTCTGTGTTACTCTATGGATGTGAGAGCTGGACACTGGATTCACAGACCGAGAAGAGAATAGAATCCTTCGAAATATATATATACAGACGGATGCTGCGAATCTCATGGGTACAAAAGATCACCAACAATGAAGTACTCCAGCGCATGCAGAAACAAAAAGAGATACTGAACACCATCAAGGAAAGAAAAATGCAATACCTGGGTCATGTGATGAGAGGTGGTGGATACGAAATACTGCGCCTCATAATAGAGGGCAAAGTGTAAGGGAAAAGATCAGTAGGAAGACTCCAGAACTCATGGCTAAAAGATTTGAGGAGATGGTTTGAACGCTCGTCTGCGGAAATCTTCCGGGCTGCAGTTTCCAGAGCCACAATTGCCATTTGGATCGCCAACCTTCGGCAGGAGAGGGCGTGATAAGAAGAAGAAGAAGAAGAAGAATGCGAAAATTTGTCGATTTCTGTTTTGGCATTTCCATATCTATACCTAGTTACCGGTATACCAGTGGTTGTTATGGCGCAAACCTCCAACAGCAAAATAAACAACAAGTAACAGTTTTGAATTTCTCGTTCACTTTTTCGAATTTATATAACATAGACAGCCAGAAAGTTGTCGAAAAGTTCTGATAATGACGACTACTTTAATATTCGTACTTCTCCAGAACTTACAGAAGCTGCAAAAAGAGCAGAAGCCATCAGTTTACTTCCAGAAAAACGTAGGGAGCGATATGAAATAGCATTGAAAGTATATACGAAAAATGTTGTGCCGAAAGAAATGCTAAGAATATTGCTTCGGAGACTTCGAGTCTTGATGGCATAGGTATTTTAGCGACATAGCAAGGCAGAAAAAGCCATCTACTCTTTGGGCTACGTACAGCATGAAGCCCCGTTCTCAGAACTGCGTCGTGTCGACAGCGACACTGATTGACACTTCAAACGACCAATGGGAGCTGTACTAAATTTAAAATTGACAGCTGTTTGAATTTTGTACAAATCTGATTGGTTCTTTTGTCGTGTCGCTGACGACAGTCACAGTTCTGAGAACGGGGCTTGATACGGACAATGCTAGAATTAGCCCGTGGTTACATTGAATGCGTGTCCGTGCGTTTTTTTGGTCGTACGTTCTCGGACGTGCACGCAGCAAAAAACAAACAAATGGTATCTACGCAGGCGGTTATATTGCATCGGAGTTTGCGCGTCCCTGCACGTACGTCGATTTTCGTTGGTCGGATGAAAACAAACTTGTTTGTTTTTTTAATACGTGCACGTCCGAGTGTTCGAATTTTTATATCTCTGGGCCCAATACATTCCCGAAAAATTTGAATATTTTTGAATACCAGGTTTATTTTTATTTTAGATATATTAATGTTGTTGGAAACACTCTAAAATATTCAAAAAATTTCACCGGTTGCTGTTTTAATTCA